CACAAGGAAATGCCGTTTTTTGTTTTTTTTTTGTCTTAAAAGTAGTCACTGGCTAAACCTTATCATCTTCTTTTATCTGTTTTTTGTCTTTGGCAGTACTGGGGTTTGAACTCAGGGCTTCACACTTGCTAGGCAAGCACTCTGCCACTTGAGCCATCCACCAGCCCAATATCACCTTCTTTTAGACTAAGATCTGCTTTGAAAGGGATGGTCACAGGAAGACACTATTGAGGGAATTGGTGCTACATTTCTCAAGATTGAGGTGGGCAAGAGGTAGGTTCTCTGGCTTTGGAAAAAAGTAGCTTCAACAACTATCCAATCAGTCCTGCACTGCCAAAGATCTTTTCAACTCAAAATACACTTTGTCCCTCCCCTCCAAGAATGTTTACATGGTCTGGGTATGGTGCCCACGATCCTAGCACTCCAGAAGCCAAGGCAAGAGGATTGCAAGTTTGAGGACAGCCTGGGCTATAGAGAGAGACCATAATCTCAAAAAACCAAGGGCTGGGGATGCAGCTTAGTGGTAAAGTGCCTGCCTAGCATGCATAGGCCCTGGGTTTAATCCTTAGTACCACTAAAAAAGGAACTTTAAAAAAGGCACAGAAAGAGAGGGATAGACACATGGGCAAGACTACCAAGATGCCCATGGGAAATTTGAAGGCAGTGGCAAACTGGTTACCATTTTGGAGCTGTGGGGATTGTGGAAACTGAACCCAAACCACCCTCCCCCAGCTGGCAGAGAATCCTGCTGCATCTCAGTAAGCTGCGCTTGCTATGGGGGGAGGGAAAGGGAGAGTGGCCGCAGGTGTGGTACAAACCACTGGTGTCATCAGACTTGCCTTCCTGTGTTCCTACTGTGACTGTGAACCTCTGTGTAACTCCACAGCATTCACATTTCAGCCCAGGTCTGAGGGGCAGACTGAAGTCCAACTCCTAACAGGTGGCAAAGCCCTGCAAAAGCCCCAGCTTGAAGCGGTCCGGTCACTCAGACAGGTGTATGTCAGCCACCCTGCAAAGGCATGAGTGAGAATGATTATTTTAAGCAACTGAGATGTGGAGAGGTTAGGCAGCAATGGCAACTGAAATGTAAGTAAGCATTGGTTGTTTAGGATTTGCTCTACCACGAGGAAAGATGACGTAATCTCCTCCTTTACTTTTTCTCTGTCAGAGCCTCAGTTCCTGGCACACAGTAGGTGTTCAGTAAATACCTTTTGTGGTCAAATTTGTATGTTTCTTCTAAAAATAGGAAACTAAGAGAATTAAATTGAAGAAAACTTACATGATTTAGTAGTCAGTGTGTGTCCCAAAACTTCAAAATCCCCTTTCAACAAGGACAAGAGGTACGTTAGTTATTAGGGGAACTGAGAGGACAGACAATGGAAGTGACTGCCTGGGTCTGAATCTAGATTTCACAGATTACCATCAAGATGACTTTGGGACAAATTACTTCATCTCTTTCTCCTTTCTCAAGTGTTAAATGCTATTCATAGTCCCTACTTCAAAGGACAGTTCTCTGTCTTGAGAATTTCAAGTACTCAACAGCCCTGCTCAATACATGATAAATGCTGTATAGATATTTTTTGTTACCTCCATTGAGATGACTTTTAAGAAAAATTATTGAATTCCTCTTTACCTGACCCTCCAACTACCTATTCATGTCTATTTGGTTTTGCTTCTGTTATCTAATCTCCGTATGGATTTATAATCAGCCCTTTTGTTTTCATGATCTTTTCATGTTCAGGAATATTAAGTGTTGATGTGTATTCCATCCCAAATGGCCCCTCTAACCACCATTTTTTGGTGGGACTAGGGTAACTCAGGGCTTTGCAAATGCAAAGCAGGGGTTCTACTGCATGAACCACATTTCCAGTCCAGTTTGCTTTTGTTATTTTGGAGATGGGGGTCTCACAAACTATTTGCCTGAGCTGGCCTTGAACTGCAATCCTCCTGATCTCAGCCTCCCCCAACTAGCTAGGATTACTGGTGTGAGCCACAGGTGCCTGACTTCTGACAACCATTTTAAGACCTGTTGGTTTTGTTCTTTTAACCTATGATGTCATTTGCTCCTTCTGTTCCTTGATGGACAGCCCTCATGCCTCCTCTTCCATGACACTGTTCTGATCTTCTTTTCCAATGTGATTTTGTTCTGACATTCCTTAGCAATTCACCTCTACCTGAATCTCTCTTTCATTCCCACCCCCAAGTATACAGCAGGTAAGCAACGAATATTTGATGAATCAATATATTTGAAAAATCCATTTAGACGGGCTTGTCTAAAGTCTAAAACAGCCTTAGTGAGAAGCCATTAAGTTTACAAAGATAAAACCTGTCATAATTGAACAGCAGACATTTTAAGGGAAAAGTTGTTTACATGTAAAGAAGACACTCACTTGATTTGTTGCAGTAAAAAAACTTTATTTCATTTAAAAGGTCCAATATAAGCCAAATTAAACCCCAAATTTACAACTACATTTAGAGATCTCCTGGACTAAATGGCACTGTTTGAGTTTCATCTCCTGTAAAGGAGGTCGTTTGCTGTTACCACTATTTCCCCAAAGTTGTTTTTGAGCAGAAGCTGGTATTATTATAATACACATCCGATATTTCAGATGTTACCTTTCATGCAGAAGTTAAAGAAAGCTAACAGGCTTTTCCCTTCTGTGTGACGATAAAGAGCACTACAGAACAAGACCTGAATGTTTTTGACACACAAGGTGTAACTATAAAGGAACTCACTATAGTGCTATGTCCATTCCTTCAAGTAGTCCACATACTTATTCCAAATACTGGTGTCCTTCACTACTCTGGGACACTACTTTGGAATTCCCCTCATTTAGGTGCACACCAAAAGAAGTGAGTTGCGCAAGCTAGGGGATAAGACAGGCACACATGCGATCACAAAACAATGGAATAGTTTTTCTAGTAGGCTGACGATCCCAAAAACCACCTCACAAATGTTTTCAGAAGTTGCATCATTTACATAAAGTGATGCAGGATCTAAGTTCTAGTATCTGTGAGGATAATTTAAAAAGAGCTTGTTACTTTATAGCTACACCTTAAATTTCATTAGATGTGGTCAATCTAATAGGGCGTCTAATGAATTCTTCTGGATGTCATTTCAGCAAAGGAACCAACAGCCTGTGAAAGAGAAGACATGGCAGAGGGCAAGAGATTCATCCTTCCAAAATTCTCTGGCAGGACAGATCTGGGCCCAAGGACAGAAGTTACCGGGAGGGAGACTTCAACTCCATCTAAGGAAGACCTTTCTAACAGTTAGAGCTGCTCAACAACTGAATGGACTGCTTGGTGAGGTAGAGTCACTGGAAGTAGTCAAGGTGGAAAGATCACCCTTGTAGAAGGGACTCCTGCATTGTTAAGAGGTTAGACTGGATGAACCTCAGGTCTCTTTCAGTTCTGAGATTCTAGAAAATTCCCTCAGGGAATTCAGAGGAGAATTCCTAAAAGGAAAGAGAAAGCACACATATGGTATACTTTTAGAATCCTCTTGAGTTTTCTTTTTTTTCAAAAGGTACAATAGAAAATGTAATCTACTGTCTTTAAAATGCATATTTAACCCTCCTACCACTAATAATTAGGAAGGATTCATTATGAATTCTTTATATTATAAAGAAAAGATGAAGATTATATTTATAATTTTTGTAAATATTTTAGAAAAAAATGCTTAAAATCTAGTAGTCAATGCCCTAGAAACTTTATAGATTTTTAGATAATATGCACAGATACAAATACATTATTCATTAAATACAACTCACATCTGTGTTTTATTATACTCTAAAATATACAGGAATCTTGATGTACTGAAAGAGTGCAAGTAAATACAGTATTCAAGCAGTCACTATTTCTATGTACATGCTCATTAATTCTTCAAAAAACCCACAAAATTATCAAATAGATCAAAATACTGTTCTGTGTTTTCACACTTTATATTCAGAAAAACCAGCTGATAATTTACAATGTCATAAAGTTTCCAGTTTTCACAATACAAAAAGGATAAAATGAAGTTATTTTGTTGTAATTTATGGAACTTCAGCTAGATCTATAAGACCCCCTATATTTGTGAAATCACTTTTACTGGAAAAGTGACTGTTGCAGTAAAAGCAAAACCACAAAGTATTATTTAAAAGCCCAAACGTCAGCCTCTTCTCTATTACTTGAAAGATAGTCTTCAACTTGGCAAGCAACTGCCCCATCTCCAAAAAGTAACAAGTTCCAACCATGCTACTCTAAATCTGAATAGGACCTAAAGGCTTTAGCATTTTAAATCTTGCCCAATACAGAAATGCCTTCCAAGAAACTTTATGGTGTTTAACTTATGAATCCTTTTGATTCTTTACTTTTTCAAAACTCAAAAAATTAAAACAACTGACAACAAAAATCCCCCAAACTATTGTGGAGGCACAAAAGTAACATAAGCAACAAAGGTGTATCCTCCAAAGTAGTGAGGCTGAAAATTCCATTCCCTAGACCACTTGGCTGTAACAGGGTGAAAAAATTAACTTTCTGATTTAATGAAATTTTTATATGAATTCTTTACCTTTTTAAACAAAAACAGTTCAATTTTAAACCCAAACCATTCAGAAGTGAGCAACAGCCCGACCTCAATTCATCTCATGTCTTTGTCACAACTATTTTCACCCACACTGCACCCAATCAGCTGTTTTTCAATTCTATTATAAAAACTGGAATTTAAAACTTTTTATGTAAAAGAAAAAAATGTAAAAATACATTTGCTTTCTTTCATGGTTTAATACAGTATTGGAAGGCTTTCAGATGTTTTCTTTATATATATAAAAAAAAAAATCATCATTTTAACCAAATCTCGGCTTCATTTGCAGAAACAGTGAAGTTTGGTTTAGATAATGTCTCATTTCACCTACTCCAGTCTCCACAAAATGGCATTCTATTAAAAAGCTTTAAGTTATTTGGTCCTTTGGCAACTTGGTGTGCACATAATGCCTACTGTGCCAAACTTTTATTGCCTTTAAATTTAGTTGTAATTTTATTGATTAAATTTAAATTTAGTGTCCTTAACTCTTCTTTTACAATAGTGTTGCTTGTGTAAGCAGGTTAGGGAGCAGTGTCCCAAATTATTTCTGGCACTGCAAAGCCAAATTTAACAATTCCACAAAGCAATATGACATCAACATGTTTTCCTCTGGTCAAGTCAGTATCAAGATTCTAGAAGTTCCTTTTGCAAAACTTGCCTTTAAAATTCTTCTTCCTAATGTCATCACCTTCCTTGCACTTGTTCACTGTGTGATCTTTCTTCTTAGGTTGAATTCGTATGTTAGTATGTTTTGTTTTCCAGGAAAAAAGCACAGTTGAAGCTTTCATGTCAGAACTCTTTCCTTAGACCTTTGGCTCAGCCTCTCAGTAAGTCTCAGAATCCGAGTCATTGAGCTCATCCACGTCGGTGTATAAGTACTCCTGTTCCCCACCAATATTGTTGAAACTGCAATAGGAGCTAGGTTCATTCCGCATGATAGGCAGGGCTTCAAAGCTGACTGTTTTTGAGGTGTTGGTATAACGGTTTATGGCATTGAATGTCAGGGATGATAAAGGGCTACTTGATGAGACAGGCATCATGGTGGCCAAAATGAGAGCCAGGCAATCAGCCACATCTTTATTGGGAGCACAGGCCAAAGCTGGGGTATAACCTAGAAGTAAAGATAAAAATTAAAAATTAGCATCCTGAGATTTTGCTAAATATAATAGCCTATTTGCCTTCAACATTAGACATAAATTATTATTATAGATTGTTTTAAACAACTATAAGAAGAAAAAGAAAAATGCCATACAAATCTAGGGCGAATGGAGTTCTATAGGCAAAATAACAGAAGAGGAAACTAAGCCTGAAGATTAATGATTTCCTCAAGATCTTACAACTTATCCAAATCCAACTGAACTTACATTACAGAAAATATTAAGCTAGAAGAAGAAAAAATAAACACCCGCCTACCCCATAGATTGGTCAATTTTCCTTTGAATGGTGAGCAGAATTAACAGTAAACCCTGAGAAATCACAGATTGGTCAATTTTCCTTTGAATGGTGAGCAGAATTAACAGTAAACCCTGAGAAATCTAAATGTGTATAGATTCAGAAAGCAGGTACTGCTCAAAGTTTGTACTGAATGAATGACACCTGGTTGTCAATTTAACTCTTCTTTTGGGGAAGTCAGTCCACTGGGGAAAAAAAACAGTAGGTAAACTAAATGAACAGGTAAACTTAAAAAACTCCTAGTTCAAGACACATGTCTCCTTTATTCTATCCCTTTTTAAAGCAGAGGCTGACCTTAGACACAAGTCCCTTCAATATAATATAGCAAGTATTAATACAGCAAGCTGAGTAGGAAACATTTGGTACCTAGAATGGTATATGGCCCAGTCCTGAGGATGCAGCAGAAAAGATGATGGCGAGAACACATGCTATGATTCCGTATGGAAGTTTTATTTATACTTACTGTTTTAAGAAATGCGAAGCAAGTATGAATTTAAGCTGCAAATGTCTTGAAACTTTTGCCTAGAAACTCATTTACTGTTGCAAATTTAGATAGTCTTTCCTATTACTATACTTACATTTTAGCCTTCACGCATATGTATGCATATTATTTTAAAAGTCACGTTTGTTTTTTAAATAGTAAAATGATCTACTACAAAACAAAGATTTGTACAGCCACAGCCAGGTGAGAAAGAGAACATTACCAGCATACCAGAAGCACCATATATTTCTTACCTAATCATGACCCTTTTCCTCCTCCATGATGACAACCACCATTCTGACTTTGTGTGGTAATTGTTTCCTGTTTACTTGTCATAAATACTACAGTGTATAGGCTTTTATTATTTTTAAGGGGGAGGGGAATAAATGGAATTATATTGCATGTATTACTTACATCTAGCTTCCTTTGCTTAACATTATGTGCGTAAGAATACCGTTGTATGTATTTAACTGTTCATTTTCATTGCTATATAGTATTTTATTGTGTGATTATACTGCAGTTTGCACATTTAACTACTAGGCATTTGGCTATTTCCACTTTTCCTACATATTTTTATTCTGGGTATATTATCGTTGATAAAAGAAAATATGCATTTTTTTCTCTTTTTAAAATTTCCATTTTGTCAAACAATCAAAGGGAACTTGTTATCCTATAGGACTGGCTAAAGGATGTGCATGTTTTTAATTAAATAGTATCTGTTCAAAATGACTAGGAAATGTTTTACTGTTCATGCTCCTTTCAGTGGCTCTTCTTAAGATTTGAAGGTGCTAAGCCACTGCTGCTCCTGGTGCTGGCTGGAAGAGCTTGCCATCAAACTTGCCTTGAATGAGTGGGAATAGGAAGGGAAGCATGTTTCTGGAATGTTCTAGTCAGAACATGACTAAACCCAGACTCCTCTCTTCTGCATGGGATTGGTGTGTCAGTTAAAGAGAAATGTAAGAACAACAAACTCCTTGAGGATATTCTATGAAAATAAAACATGTTCTGTCTCCTCTGGGGGGGAAAAAAATCACTGAAACATCATTAACACTATTCTTAAAGTGAATGCAGGCACTGGATGTACTGGGCCCTTGATCTTGTCTCTGGTTTTCAGAGCCCAATTAATCACTGATCCCTGTTGTTACTGTAATAATTTATAACTATCACTACAAACAATTATAAAATGAGATTGGTATTTACTGTAACTAAACTTTGGATCATAATTATAATCAAAAATGGCAAAGTGTGTATGACCCTATCAGGTCTTACTCTCCTTTTTGTTTCTTGTAAAGTTAAATAAGATACATAATATCTTGAAAGTGGTCAATATTCACGTATCAGTAGGTACCCATGATTAATGCAGTGTCCTGGGTGGCCAAATATCACTAACATTTTAAGTTCCTCATTTAATATATATAAATAGCTATATTCCTAGAAATATAACTTACAGATAGTGAAAGTTTCTTTTAAAGTTGGAGTAGCTTGAACCTGTCTTCACAGGTGAAAAACCTCTACGAATTACACATACTACTAATTCAAAAGTGATTCTTACTTTTGGGTTGCTTTCTTGGGAGTTTTCATTGAACTTATGTCCTCAAATGAATTTCTGTCTCAATTAATGACATTTAAATCCATACAAGCTCCCCAAGCCAGATGGGATGTGACTTCCTCCTTCACCAAGTCCCAATGACACCATCTTTTCATTTTCAGCACCTTGGCCTTAATTCTGCCTACCATCTACATTTGTAACTTGTAACTCATTTCCCTATTCTAATCTTGTTCTGCCTTTTAGACTAATTGCTGTATTTCCAGTGCACAGATCCCTTGTCACCTGATCTATTCTTTGCACTTACTTCGTTTTATCTCCTAACAGGCTACTCTCTCAGTTAAAAAAATTCCCTCCCCACTTTGTATTTGTCCTTTACATTTTGGCTTCAAAATCACTTTTTTGGGATGCCTCTTCTCTGATCCTGTAAGAAAGGGTTGAAGATTTTCTGATGTGCCCTGATAGCATTTTGGCTTTACTCCAATTAAATTATTTCAAGTGCACTTAGACCTCCATTCAAGGGAGTAATTCCACAATGTGTCCTCAGAACTTAGCACAGTGCTTGTAATAAACATTCAGGCAACAAATATTTTTTGAGCTCCCACTGTGTGCAGGCACATTAACATTTAGAATCAGTGAATGCAAATGGCAAAGACTCCCTGTTCTTATGGAGCTTATATTCATTCAAATAGGGGAGACAAACTATGAACATAGTACAAAAGTAAATTATGTACAATATGTTAGAAAGTAAGCCCTATGGAAAAAAGGAAGGAGGTTATCAAGGATTGAGAATGCTGTGGCAGGGACATGTAGCCAGCTGTAATATAAATAGGGTAGACTTAAATTCAGAAGATGAAATTTGAACTAAGATTTGAAACAGGTGAAGGATCTAGTTCAAGAATGCTTGGAGGGCAGTGTGTTCCAGGTCAAGGAAACAGCCAGAACAAAGATCATATAATCTATGTATAAACCCTGCAACAAAGGAGCTGGAGTGGCAGAATGAAGTCAGAAGAGAAAAAGGGTAGGAAAAGAGATCAGAAAGGCGATTGGATGGAAGGCCTTGCAGGTCACTATAAGCACTATGAATAAACTGAGACTCAGGTGAAACGTGTTCTTATATACTTTAAAAGGATCCACAAGGGTGGAAGCAGTGGAGAAAAATGTAGGCAGACTCTAGATACACTTTAGAAGTAGAATCGACAGTAAATGTACACTGGGCATTTAAGAGAGTGAGAGGAGACAGAGGGACAGGGAGAGGAAGGAGAGATGAAGGAGAGGGAGAAGAGATGAGGGAGAGGAATCAAGGACAACTCAAAGACTTGCCCTGAATAAAGAGATTTTTTTCAACTGAGATCAAGATGCCTGTGGGGAGAGCAGGCTTGGTGGGGAGTAAGGAAAAAGGATTGAGAGTTCAGTTATGGACATGTTAGGTTTCAGCTACTAGACATTCCTGTGGTATTAATTAGGCAGCTGGATTTATGAATGCAGAGATTGTAACAAGTCTGGGGTGGCAATATAAAATTGGGAATTCTCAATGTGTAGGTAGTTTTTAGAAGCAAGGGATAATATCACCTACAGAGTCCTAGAGCCCTCCAATATTAACAGGGAGAAATTCTGTAAAAAAAATGAGAAAGAGTAACTAGTAATATAGGAAGAAAACCAAGAAAATATGGGGTCCTGAAAGTCAAGCAAACAAAAGTAGTAATCAAAAGCTGATCTGACAAGTGAAAATGAGAACTAAGAACTGACTTAACATTTTGGACGTTCACTGGTGGTCTTAATGAGAATAATTATGCAGTGTGGTGGGACAAAGGCTTAGAAAGCCAATTCTTGAACATTTTGCAAGCAATGGCAGCAGTGGTGGAATTAATAACATTTTTTAGATGAGAGAACTAATATTTATAAACTGGGGTGGGGGAGTGCACTAGAGATGCAGTTCTGTGGTGGAGTGCTTACATAGCATCCCAGCAACAGCCCAAGGAGGGGCAAACACTGTTTTGGAGGGCAAAAAGGGAAGAATTGTTAGTGATATTCTTCAGACAGGATTTAGTGTATGAGTAGAAGGACTGACTTTGCCTAAGAAAATGTCACTTGAGGGCCTTGATAAATACTACAAAGATGGTGGTAAGCACTAATAGTAAACATTAACTTTATTTTAATATAGACATGTGAATTCAAAGGTCATCTATTAGACTTCTCCTGTTCCACTTGCTCTTAATCCTTTGCTACAAAGTAGTACTCAATATTAACTTCAGCTCTCTTCTTTGCCCAATAAAAACGCCCAAGTTTATTGTACTTAAAATATGAACCACCAAAAGATAAAAGCTTTTGGTAAGACACAGGTTAGGGAAGAGAATATAGAAACTACTTACCATTTTCATCTACTGCAAGTACACTTGCTCCTTTCCCCAAAAGTTCTTGAACTACCATTGTTAGCCCATTTCGGGCAGCAACATGCAGAGGTCTGGAGAAAAAATTGTACGTGTACATGTATATGCAGAACACATACTTGGCCAAGTTGTTAAGACCCAGAGATACAAACTTTGAACATCTAATCTTAACAGTAATGAAGATGGGATGGGGACAACAGAACCTCACAAACTGCATTCTTAAGTTGTTTTAAGAAATGAGGTTGACATATAATAAAGGACAAGAATACAAATTCTAACATTCTTTGAAAATAGCTTATATAGACTCTATGACAAATTTTTTAACCATCATGGAATTTGACTGATTCCAGAATGTAAACCACTGTTCTAAGCTTTTTCCTGTCTCTCTTTTTAAAATTGGGGTATGGGAAAGCTCCAGGGTTTAGAAGGGATGGGTGGACCCTCCAAACCTCTTTCCACGTTCTTCTCCCTGCACTATCAATGACCAGGGCCTGCGCAGCCCACAATCGCTTTCCAATGCAGAGAGGTCTAAGCTTTTCCTTAATAAAGTCTCAAGGCAGAACAGCAAATAGAAATTGGGAGAGGATAATGGGAGACACAGATCAAAGATCTCTGTCAGTCAAACTAGAGGCTTGCTGCCTCTAGTTTTAAACTTATGGATACACACAAAGCTTCTTACTTCACATATACATCAAGTAACATTTTTATACTTTTTTCCATACAGTACACAGAACAGTACTACTTTCCTTAAGAAAACGTGAGTAAATAGATTGAGAAAAAATTCATTACAAAGTTTCAGTTTAAAAGTTTTTTCAGTAAGGGTTTTTAATTGCATTGATTTCAGAAATGAGTTTTGTCACTTGTAAAAACTATCTTTACTTTTTTTTAAAAAGAGACAGGGTATCACTACATAACCCATGCTGGCCTTGAACTCACAATCCTTCTGCCTCAGTTTCCAGGATGCTGGGATCACAGATGTATGCCACCACACCTGTTTTTTTTCCTTTACTTTTAAAACTGCTTCTGTGACTGAGACCTATTCCATTGGTCACTTTGCATTTATAATTTTTTATAATTATAAAGGTCACAAAGCTTACACCAGACCATGAAAGTACTCACGTTTGCAAGGCTGCATTGGTTGCATTGATGAGGTTTCTATCAGTTATCTTTTCCAGTATTAACAAGGCACTAGTTTCATGACCCTAAAATTGTGGCAAACAATTCCTCTTTAAAAACTTGGGCACCGTTAAAAATAAATTTATTAACCCAACAACCCCCAACACTAGTCCATACACAAGTACAACACTATAAATAATCATGACTTTTCCTAGTTAATGCTTTAAATATTTGCTCAAAAGTGTTAGAAATGGGAGTAGGGGAAGACGATGACAGGAATTATGATTTACAGATGATAACTGTGTTTGGCCTTGTATTCCAAAACTTAGTAAGTCAATATTGTTTCTTTCAAGAAACTTGGTATCAGTAATCATTTCAGAGGTTCAGTCCCTTCTTCTGTTGTTAGTGAAGTAGGAAAAATTTAATGTCACTGTTGATACCAACAATAAAATATTCTTAAAATAGATACATACCTTGCCGCAAGCCAAATGGAGGGCGGTGTTTTTACTGTTGTCTTGTAAAGTCAGATCTGCACTAGCACTGCTAACCAGCATCTCTGGGAAGAAACAGTGCATTAGTTTTTATGTTTATTAGCATGTTTCTTAGATTATCAATAACTCACTGCAGAGGAACAAAGACATAAAGCAAAAAATATCATCCTTGCAAAAACTGAAGAGCAAAGAAAATAATGCAATACATGGCATACATACAAGGAACTTTTATATTCTCATGTAAATCAGACACTAATGAGAATGATTGAACTTTTTGTTTTAGTGCATACTAAATTTTATACACTCGTTTTATGTGCTCTGGATTGACAGCAATTTACTTAACCTCCACAACAATTCTAACAAACTAGGTACTGCTATTTTTCTTATTTCACAAATGTAAAAACTGAAGGATAAGGTCATTTAGTGAAGATCTACGGCACACATTTAGGCAATGTGACTCCAGGGCCAGTGTTCTTAACCACTGTGTAACACTGCCGAGGTAAAGTAAATTCTTCAATCAGTAAGGGCAAATTAAAATACTGTCTCCAAATGAAAATATGTGAAGTCAATCAGGCAAAAGATTTTAAATCCCAGGAGTGGCAAGATTAAGTAGTCAAAGTCAGAAAGCTTGGGGATGTATAGCATACGCAAGCAAGGTATATATTTAGGAGAATACAACCTTTAAATAGTTTATTTAAAAAAGAAATTGCATTGTGGCTTTCTATATATAGCCTGGGTTGGCCTTGTTAGCTTCAGCCTCCTGAGTAGCTGAGATTACAGGAATATACCATGCCTAGCTCTAAACAGTTTCTTTACCAACTGTATTTGTTTGTCCATTTTCTGCAGCCATCATAAGAGGTGTTTTCCCAGAAGAGTCCACAAAGTTGACTTGAGCATTATGGCTGAGCAGGAGCTGTAAACACTCAACATGGTCTGTGAAGGCGGCTGCATGGAGAGGAGTTCTGTGACATGAAGAAATTGGAATACATGATTAAATCTATCAAATAATTGGAAAAACTATTCCTTAATTTATGATGAGCAACGTTTAAAGGTTTACATATTAGGCTATAAAAGCAGTGCCTAGATACAAATGGGTTCCATGGAGCTTAGTAATTTTGATCACAGAAATTTATATTTTTGATAATATAGAAATAAACTAAAATAAGTATCAAATATAAAATTGCTAAAATAACATTTTATCATTAAAGAAAATTTCAAAGAAATAAATCTGGGCCCCAAACTTTACTACCTCTTTCAACTGCTGGACTCCTCCTATTCTTTATTACTATTTTACTACTACTACCTCTTTTAAGAAAAAACACGTCTTAAAAGAGGTGGGGAATTTTTTACATTTAAAAATACTTTTAAAAGAGGAAGACTGGATAAAAACCAATCTGGCTACAGGAGCATTATATAATACAAAAAAATTAGTATTTTATACTTGCAAGTACAAAATTCAGTTTTCAATTAATAATGGTTTCTCTAAATTCTCAAACTAGACTAATACTAAAATTTTTGTTTCTCCTATTGAAAGTAATACTGTATCTTATACATAGTTGTGTTCCTACCTTCCTTTTGCATCTGTGGCATTCACAATGCTGGCACCTAATGTATCAATTAACATCTCAGCAGCACCTTCGTTGTCATTGATCCTGTGTAAGGTAACAAGGTAATTACACTCAAAGCAATGTTATATTTCTAAAAACACTCAAACCAACACTGATTAATTCTTGCTTTACTTACACAGCACAGTGCAATGGACTGAAAGCATTTCCTTCTATTTTCTGGAAAACTTCTTGTTCTAAAAGAAGTTCTACACATGTCTCGTGACCTAAATAGTTAAGTAAGAACCAGCTATTAAAATGTAAGACATTGGCAAAAATCTAAAATACACAGAAGTGTCTACAAGGAAATAGTACAAGTTCCTGCCTCCATCCCATCTCCTAAGTCCACTCTCTAGATTGTACTCAGTGGTCTCTTGACAGTTCCAGAAAATTTCTAGACACATAGAACTGCATGTACACAAACACACATTTTCTTTGAAAAATACAAATGGGATACTTTATCCTACAACTTGCTTTTTACTTAATAAATTGTATATATCCTTATATAATAGCATATATAAAAATCTTAATTCTTCAATGTTCACTTCACAGTACTGGAGTGTATAATGACAAATTCAGCTTTTCTTAACCTTATTTTCAAAGTCAAAGTTTAATTAAAACAACCAATCAACCAACCAACCAACCAAAAACCCACCCAATTTGCATACAGGTTGATATACTTTATCTGAAATGCTTGGGATCCCAAGTCCTTGAGATTTGAGTTTTGGGATTTCTGTAATACTTGCACTGAATTACTAAGCATCACTAACAGGAAAATCTAAAATTCAAAATGCTCTGAAATCAGAAATGTAATATAAGCATTTTGGATTAGAGATGCTCAGTCAGTATTAATTTCTGCAAATGAATTTTGTTTCTTTTTCTTCTTTATTAGTCATTTGAAATCTGTTTTAGGAATAAATTAGATTCTTACAGTCTTATTTTCACGATTTAGTACTTGTCTATCAAAGTGATGCTACATTTTGTCTATATACTCGAACATTCTCAAACAATAGCTCAACCTAACTTTATTGTGTAATTGTACCAGGACAAGAAGTTAATGTTTAGCCAATCTATATAATTGCACTCCACCTTTTGTAAGATGTAATCCAGTCCCTCTCAAGCAGGACATTTTGCCCATCAGGAGATGTGTGGCAATATCTGGAGACATTTTTGCTTATCACAACTAAGGGCAGGGAAGTACCCCAGGCATCTAATGGGGGTAGAAGCCAGGGATGCTGCTAAACTCCCATGTAACAAAGAATTGTCAGGTCCCAGGTTCCGAGGGTGAGAAGTTCTGCTTTAAATCCATCTCTGAAAGTTAGCTCATTAGTAAGAAATAGCAATGGACAGATGCCCAGGACTGATTTAAGAGCTGTCCATTATCATGGCATATGGGTTCTTAAGGTGTGGCCTATGGAGCCTCTCATTTCATTTTGAGGGAATTTTGTATTGGAATGCTTTCAATTTTCTTCCCACTCATACAATAATTACTAATAGAAGTAGACCATTTTACATATCCTACTTTCAGAATACCAAATTATAAAACAGGCTTTTAGCTATAAATATGGTACTGATTTTAAATTGTCTGCATGGTCTCTTGTTGCATATAATTTCTTCCAGCTTAATTCAGAATCACTACAACTTTTCTAGTGTGAAACTACATCTGTTGACCTTATTATTTTTTTTTTGGGGGGGGACTGGAGTTTGAATTCAGGACATCACACTTGTACCACATCTATTTTGCTGTACTTATTTTGGAGTAAGTACTTATTTTGGGGGTCTTACAAACTATTTACATGGGCTGGCCTCCTGACCTCAATCTCCCATCCTCCTCATCTAAGCCTCCCAAGTACCTAGGATTGCAGATGTGAGCCACCACTGCCTGGCTAACGTCTGCTAATTTTTAAATGGCAACCAGGCATGCAGTTTGTACAAAATTCTCTCTTATACAAAATGTACTTAGGGAGTCTAAGTTCAGCAATGATAGAGTAAGAACAGTGTTTTACACGTAGACTTGGTAAGAAATGTTGTAATAGAGAACAATTCTCCAAAGGCCAGAGCAGTACATTTGTAACAAAATACTCTACCTTAGGAAAAATACCTTACTGCATGATTTCCCTCCATGTTTAATTATCACTAATACATTTTTAAAAAAAGAATCAACCTGTAAAATTCTTTCCTTTAAAACAGCTTTATCACACTAACTTCTGATTATTTGTTTTGAGACAAGGCCTCAATACATAGGCCAAGCTGGCCTGGAACTCAGGGTAACCTCAAACTCACGATCCTCCTGACTCAGTCTCCTAACTGCTATAATCAGAGGCATGAACCACCACAACTGCCTCATTAACTTTTCATATAAATAAAATTCACATTTGAGGATGTTTTGCCACTGTATTAGATATTTTGGGTTTTCCTCATATTCATAAAATATTAAGTCATATTATAAAAACAAATCATATTTTAATGTTAAAATATAGTATCTTCTTTGACTTAGGGCAAATCTTCAGTCACTATCCTATAGTCATTAAATACTAGCTTTAGTGAGCTGAAAGAGAAAAAGGAAAGTCAAAACCTGAAGATGTTACAGGTTTTAATACAAAGGCAAAAATCCCACTCGACAACAGACACCTAAGCAACAAATGACAAGAATGAAAACCAGTTCATGCTAAGGGGAGGGCACTAGCAGGAGACAGAGGGTAAAAGAAGGACGTTAAGAAGGTGAATATGGATGATGTACTTTCTATACAAGAATATAGAATCTTAAAACCTATTGAAATTACTCAAAAGGGACTACGGTAAAAAGGAGAAAAATAGAGGGGATAAACCAATTTGGATTATAATACGTATGTATGTGGAAATGTCATAATTAAACATCCTGTATAGCTATCTTAAACAAAGAAAAATGTCTTTATTAAAAAATGAAGGCAGGAAGGTAAAACAGGTCCTGTCTGGGGGTTGGTAGGAGTGGAAGGGGGAAGGATAGAAGGAAAGCATGTAGCAGGGTGAGTATGGTGAATATCATGTACTATGTATGAAAATGGAAAAGTGAGACCTGTTGAAGCTATTCTAAGAATGTGTACTGGGGGGCAGAGAATGATGGAGGATATTGTAAGAACTTTTGTAAATGTCACAGTGTACCCACATACAATATGATGATAAAAAAATAAATAAAAATAAAATAGAAAAAAATTTTGGTGAAGAATATGAGGTAGTAAAAAGGAAACAGACCACACTAAGCTTTGTGAATTCACAGATTAAAGTATTTTTTATGGTTCTATCAGTACTTGGAGTTGGAAGAATGACCAACAGTAATTACCAGGACAATGCTTAAATACAGAAGAGCCTATAATATTCTGACTGCCAGGCATGGTGGCAGATACCTGTGTGTGGCCATGGGTAAGAGGACTGAAGTTGGAAGCCAGCCCTGGACAAGAATTCAAGACTCTACCAGAAAAATGACTATGGTCAAAAAAAAAAAAAAAAAAGAAAAAGCGCAGGCATGGCTCACATAGTAGGGCACCTGCCTAGTTAAGTAGGAGGCCCTGAGTTCAAACCACAGAACTGCCAAAAATAATTAAAATGATCTCTCAACTCTGGCATGAAAATTAGTATAAAAATTGAAATAGCTTATTTAGGAAATACTTATGAAAACATTTGATTAAACTATATTTTTACATGATTCAGATTTTTCCTCTTTAACCATAATTCAACAACAGTGGCAGAAGACCTCCCAGGGAAAGACCTATGAAGCAGCAGATTAAAGAGGAGATGATACACTTGAACCATGGCTTTGTGGATGCACTGTCAAAACTAACATTAATCTCAGTGTGACAATGAAATTCAAATCAAAATTTAAAAATTTCATATTGGCTTGCAAAAGGTGTTAAGTTCAAACTCTGGCAGAACTGAAGTACACTGTAACACATCTGAGTGTTTTCTAAGATGACCAAGACTATGAATTACAGAGAAAAAATTATCAACATGCATGCTGGGTATGGGTGGCTCATGTCTATAATTCCAGCTACTCAGGAGGCAGCGATCAGGAGGATCACAGCTCGAAGCCAGCCTCAGGCAAATAGTTCGTGACCTATCTCCAAAATAACACATCACAAAGCAAAGGGCTGGGGAGTGGCTCACGTGATAAGAGTGACTGCCTAGCAAGTGTGAGGCCCCGAGTTCAAATCCTAGTGCCACCAAAAACATGCTTCATGCTATTATTTTAATTACTGACATTTCATTAGCCAAACCCCACTTTTAATTTCTATACCTTAAAAATAAGTTTTTTGCTTTCTTGAAAGACCTTTTGTAACTTTTTTTTTTTTTAAATGGTGTTGCTGGGGTTTGAACTTGGGGCCTTGTACATGACAGGCAGGTGCTCTACCACTTAAGCCACATCCCCAGACCTGAAAGACCTTCTGTGAGTCTACCTATAAAAGGATCATTATGACTGTGAACCTCTAGGAAACCAAAAGTAAGGTGATTTAACCACACAGCAAAATTATCTCAGAAAGCTTCAAAGATCTGCTAGGCTTTTATTCCTTCACAATGTGGAGCATCATGTATGTTAGTGGTGATACAAGGTTTTTATCCGTATACTTAACCATTGTAGCAAGCCCAGTGAAGTGCCGTATATCCATGATTGTCTGTTATGGCTGGATTTGCATCCAAAGATGCTGCTGACTGCAAAAGGGCTCCAAGAACACCAATGTGTCCACAGGCAGCTGACAAGTGTATAGGTGTCCGACCCCTACTATCCCGTAGTAAGCACTTAGCACCATGCTGAAGTAATGCATCTACACATTCTTCATGGCCTGTAACTGCCTGAAAGAAAAATAATTTGAATGTAGTCAAATAAATTATGCTGGATGCTATGTCCCAACTTTAGTTAATTTAAAGATTTCAAAGTCAATACACCCCTATCTTTCTCCCACTTAAGGCCATTTATCATTTTCTTAAGTAATTCAGTATTTTTTTTTAAAGTAGTTTCAAAATTCAGTTAAAGCAGCAACTTTTGCCAAAATACAATATGGAAAAAAAGAATAGAGATATTTGTAATTCAATGAAAATATTTTTAAAGATTAAAATAGGATAATGGGAAAAAGTCAAACTGATATTACTTCTACTTGAGATTTTAGGGATTTAAGACAGTGTTTCAACATTATTGTTCCTTGGATTAAGTTATGCATTGCAACTATTCAAAACCACCATTCAAAAACCAAGACACTGAAAAAAAGTATAGTAAAGATTATTTGGTAGGAATTTAATGAAGAAAAATAAAGTTTAGTTAAGCAATGAGATCATAAAAGTGCCTTGAAAATAAACAAGGTATTCTGGCTTACCCCTCTATGCAATGCTGTCCTCCCCCATTTATCTTTGGCATCTACATTGGCTCCTTTGTTCAGTAGTGAGTAGACACAATCCGTGTGCCCATTGAGAACAGACAGCATAAGAGGTGTCCTGAACAACAACAGGAGTAGGCTTAGTGATATCACTTAAAAGACTGTACTCTATAAATGGCAAACAATGTATTTGGAAAACAAGCCTCTTTGTGACATATTGTTTCTTTAAATTAAAAAATTATATTTGATGTTATTCAGATACATGCTATGACACATTTACTAAAATAGGGCCAGCATATAGATTATCAAATACCTTTTTTTTTTTTTTAAAGTGTGGAGACAATGAACCTTTATTTTAAAGCCATACTACTAGGAAAATACATCACAGCAAACAGACAGGCTATATTATCATTTCAAGTAATAAGTTGGCAAAAAGACAACATGGTCCTTACCCAAAAGATAAGGTACCCTGAAGGGGCAGGAACACTGCTTGTTGCAAATACCCCAGACAAAAATGGCATTTGGTAATGTGTATGTGTTCTTGCCCACCTTCCTTGCTTTTTGACCTTCCTATTCCCAGAAGATTGTCTCAATAAGGCTCTGTTAATTCAGGGGCTAGCTAAATAAACAATGCTGGGTTTAGTCTTTTATCTCATCACTGTTTTATGAAATTCAGCGTTTTGCAAGTCCAGTACTTCACAACTCTCTCAACTAGCCAACAGTTCCTATTTAGTGTTTATCACCAGATGCTGGTATGACATGATCAAACCTCCATGCCATTTAAGGCAAGACTGTCCTATTGCTCTGCTGCAGAAAGCCTCAAAACCCATAAACCAGTGAAGGAAGCTCTGCTTTCAACACTCAAGAGTGACACTGACTCTCCAGGAATTTCAAGAAATGCACATCCACATCTTGATGGCCAGAAACGGATGTACAGAAGAACCTTTCAAAATTCTTGTCCAACTAAACTACTCTCTCCCAACTCATACCTTAAATCCACTCTACGCTGCTGTATGCAAAACAAAACCAAGCAAAATAAAAATCCAGAAACCTGGGATGGTAGATTGGCTCAAGCAGTAAGAGTGCTTGCCTAGCAAGCATGAGGCCCTGAGTTCAAACCCCAATAACACGCCCCCCCCCCAAAAAAAACCCAGAAACCTTCTTTCCTTTCTAAATTAGTGATCTACTGGGTTTTGTTTTATAACTTACAAAAATACTTTCGGCAAACAGGAGGTTGGCAACAAATAAGACACACCTCTCCTCAACCTTCACCAGATCACAGGCAGGTTGGAGGAACTTGCCAGCCTGTTGGTACCTGTGTACTAAGAAGAATCTAGTACCTTGGAGATCTGTGGCTTTGTACATGGGAGATCTCAACTGCTAGGAAAAGCACTCGCCACATGGGAATTTATGCTCCAAAACACGCCCCCTGCCCACATGCTATCTTTCACCCAAATTTTAGCACCTTTTTTCCACTTCACTTTCTAGGATGGAAACATAAAAGAGCTATTGTCCAGAAACAAGTGAAATATACCTTAAACATGTTGTCATCCTTAATTTCTTCATAAACTTTGCTTAAAAGACTAAAATTCCCATTCCTCTTTAAGTACATTTCTGCCCTGAGCTCAATGGTCACAGGAAAAGACTTTTCTACGATGGCTTGTGTCCAGACTCATTTGAAACCATGTCTGTCCTTCCAGACATGTGGGGTGGAAGGGTGGGGACCAAAACTCCCCTGGCCACTCTCTCTCTCTCACTCTCTCTCCTCTCTCTCTCTCTCTCTCGCTCTCTCTCTCCTAGGCACAGAGACAGACCAACAACCCATGGATTAGGACAGATTATTTCCCAATGGATGAGAGAGACTCTTTCATCTTCTTAGTCATAGTCGGGATGAGGTGCATGTGCTCATCCACACACTTGGTCACACAACTGTCCAGCTGCTGCTTCACCTGAAGCGCCTTGTTCCCTGCATTCACTGAATCTTTGGCTTTGTCATTGCAATGAAAGGTGCACCGGGCTAGGCGGTCCTGGAACCTTTCCAACTCACTGGTCACCAAGGCCTGGGCTTAGGCTAGAGGCGCATGGCAGCGCTCAATGCACTGGTGCACCTGCTGCATGGACGCCTGGCTGTCTTCACAGTAATTGGCACTGCACCGGAACATGAGGCCCTGCATCTTTCGGATGTTCTCTTTCTCCACGCTCTTCACCATGGCGTCCACCGCCTCCTGCACCCGGAGCTGCTGCAGCTCCGCCATGGCAAACCCGCGCTGCGCCGCACCGCGCCGCGCCGGCGCCCACATGGACTCCTCAAATATCTTAAAAGTAACTAAAAGCCAGGTGTAGTGGTACATGTCTGTAATCCAGAGCGAAGGAAGGAGGATTGTAGATTCTAGCCTGGCCAGGGTTATACAATGAAATCCTGTCTCAAAAATTAACAACAGAAGATTTAAGAATTATTGAAACTTACTGTCCACTTCCATCTTGAATATCTACTGCATTCTGTGGCTCTGCATTTCCTATTAATAACCGCAAGCATTCTGAATGACCATTTGTTGCTGTAAAGTAAAATTTAAAACTGTCAGTAGTTACATATAATAAAGTAGAAAATGTCCATCTTAGAGGCAATCTCCAGAATATAATTTTGAAGTAATTTGACTGAATTCATTATTTCACTGAATCAAACACGCAAGAAGGAAAACTCCATGTATTAAGTAAGATTCTACTGGGTTTGTTGTTTAAGCTGAATATACAAATTCCTCAGGGTAAATTACAGCAGGAAGGCTGCCTATCCAGCACCCATCCCTCGCCATCACAACCCCATTCTCCTTTGACACTGGTCAGTTACAAGGCCAGCACAGGTCCAGCTCTGACTACTGAGATGTGGACAAGTCCAGAGGGCTTTGGGAAATACTCAACCCTGCTTATTGAAAAGTCCTAAATCTATCTGATTTTGGATGTGATCCTGTAACGCAGCAGCAATCATCCTGTGACATGTAAAGGCAAGAGAGTTACAATCTAGTTAAGCTCTGATATCACTGTGGAATCAGCCAACCCTGGAACTGCATTTGCTTCCTGTCACTTAAGAAACTTTCAGTTGGAAACTAGATCCATGTATATCACCCTATACCAAGATTAACTCAAAATGGATCAAGGATCTTAATATCAGACCACAAACTCTTAAGTTGATACAGGAAAGAGTAGGAACTACTCTGGAGTTAGTAGGTATAGGTAAGAACTTTCTCAATGAAACCCCAGCAGCACAGCAACTAAGAGATAGCAAAGATAAATGGGACTTCATAAAACTAAAAAGCTTCTGCTCATCAAAAGAAATGGTCTCTAAACTGAAGAGAACACCCACAGAGTGGGAGAAAATATTTGCCAACTATACATCAGACAAAGGACTGATAACCAGAATATATAGGGAATTTAAAAAACTAAATTCTCCCAAAACTAATGAACCAATAAAGAAATGGGCAAGTGAACTAAACAGAACTTTCTCAAAAGAAGAAATTCAAATGGCCAAAAAACACATGAAAAAATGCTCACCATCTCTAGCAATAAAGGAAATGCAAATTAAAACCACGCTAAGATTCCACCTCACCCCTGTTAGAATAGCCATCATCAGCAACACCACCAACAACAGGTGTTGGCGTGGATGCGGGGAAAAAGGAACCCTCTTACACTGTTGGTGGGGATGTAGACTAGTACAACCACTCTGGAAAAAAATTTGGAGGCTACTTAAAAAGCTAGACATTGATCTACCATTTGATCCAGCAATACCACTCTTGGGGATATACCCAAAAGACTGTGACTCAGGTTACTCCAGAGGCACCTGCACACCCATGTTTATTGCGGCACTATTCACAATAGCCAAGTTATGGAAACAGCCAAGATGCCCCAGCACTGACGAATGGATTAAGAAAATGTGGTATCTATACACAATGGAATTTTATGCAGCCATGAAGAAGAACGAAATGTTATCATTCGCTGGTAAATGGATGGAATTGGAGAACATCATTCTGAGTGAGGTTAGCCTGGCCCAAAAGACCAAAAATCGTATGTTCTCCCTCATATGTGGACATTAGATCAAGGGCAAACACAACAAGGGGATTGGACTATGAGCACATGATAAAAGCGAGAGCACACAAGGGAGGGGTGAGGATAGGTAAGACACCTAAAAAACTAGCTAGCATTTGTTGCCCTTAACGCAGAGAAACTAAAGCAGATACCTTAAAAGCAACTGAGGCCAATAGGAAAAGGGGAACAGGTACTAGAGAAAAGGTTAGATCAAAAAGAATTAACCTAGAAGGTAACACCCACGCACAGGAAATCAATGTGAGTCAATGCCCTGTATAGCTATCCTTATCTCAACCAGCAAAAACCCTTGTTCCTTCCTGTTATTGCTTATACTCTCTCTACAACAAAATTAGAAATAAGGGCAAAATAGTTTCTGCTGGGTATTGAGGGGTGGGGGGAGAGGGAGGGGGTGGGTGGTGGTAAGGGAGGGGTGGGGGCAGGGGGAGAAATGACCAAGCCTTGTATGCACATATGAATAATAAAAGAAAAAAAATGTTAATAATGAAAAAAACAAAAAAAGTAAAAATGATAAAATAAAATAAAAAAGAAAATATTAAAAAAAAAAAAGAAACTTTCAGTTGGATACCTGGTTATTAATAGCTCAAAGAATTCCAAATGATGTACATACAATAAAAGAAACATGACACATATACATAAAGAATGCTTTTATCCGTACAAATATATAAAACAGGTAGAAGCAGCCAACCCAAATAGAAAGCTCTTAAAGTAAATCTGCAAAATTCAGGTCCTACCTATAAGGTTTAAGATTTAAAGAAATACATCAGCTACAAAATGATGTAGAAAGCAGTATCTTTCACCATTCCTGCTTTTTTGTTGTTTATTCCCCCTACCCCCTCCCTCTCCCTTACACCCACTCCCTCTCTCCCTCCCCCTACCCCCTCGCTTCCAGGCAGAAACTATTTCGCCCTTATCTCTAATTTTGTTGAAGAGAGAGTATAAGCAATAATAGGAAGGACCTATAGATAAGGATAGCTATACAGGGAGTTGACTCGCATTGCTTTCCTGCACATGTGTGTTATCTTCTAAATTAATTCTTCTCAAACTAACCTTTTCCCTAGTTCCTGGAACCCTTCTCCTATTGGCCTCTGTCGCTTTAAAGTATCTGCATTAGTTTCTCTGAGTTGAGGGCAACAAATGCTATCTAGTTTTTTGGGTGTCTTACCTATCCTCATATCTCCCATGTGTGCTCTCGCTTTATCATGTGATCAAAGTCCAATCCCCTTGCTATGTTTGCCCTTGATCTAATGTCTGCATATGAGGGAGAACATACGATTTTTGGTCTTTTGGGCCAGGCTAACCTCACTCACAATGATGTTCTCCAATTCCATCCATTTACCAGCGAATGATAACATTTCGTTCTTCTTCATGGCTGCATAAAATTCCACTGTGTATAAATACCACATTTTCTTAACCCATTGTCAGTGTGGGGCATCTTGGCTGTTTCCATAACTTGGCTATTGTGAATAGTGCCGCAATAAACATGGGTGTGCAGTGCCTCTGGAGTAACCTGTGTCACATCTTTTGGGTATATCCCCAAGAGTGGTATTGCTGGATCATATGGTAGATCAATGTTTAGCTTTTTAAGTAGCCTCCAAATTTTTTTCCAGAGTGGTTGTACTAGTTTACATTCCCACCAGCACTGTAAGAGGGTTCCTTTTTCCCCCACATCCTCGCCAACACCTGTTGTTAGTGGTGTTGCTAATGATGGCTATTCTAACAGGGGTGAGGTGGAATCTTAGTGTGGTTTTAATTTGCATTTCCTTTATTGCTAGAGATGGTGAGCATTTTTTCATGTTTTTTGGCCATTTGAATTTCTTCTTTTGAGAAAGTTCTGTTTAGTTCACTTGCCCATTTCTTTATTGGTTCATTAATTTTGGGAGAATTTAGTTTTTTAAGTTCCCTATATATTCTGGTTATCAGTCCTTTGTCTGATGTGTAGCTGGCAAATATTTTCTCCCACTCTGTGGGTGTTCTCTTCAGTTTAGAGACCATTTCTTTTGTTGAGCAGAAGCTTTTAGTTTTATGAAGTCCCATTTATCTATGCTATCTCTTAGTTGCTGTGCTGCTGGGGTTCCATTGAGAAAGTTCTTACCTATACCTATTATTCCAAGTATTTCCTACTCTTTCCTGTATCAACTTTAGAGTTTGGGTCTGATATTAAGATCCTTGATCCATTTTGAGTTAATATTGGTATAGGGTGATAACATGGATCTAGTTTCAGTTTTTTGCAGACTGCTAACCAGTTTTCCCAGCAGTTTTTGTTGAAGAGGCTGTCTTTTCTCCATTGTATATTTTTAGCCCCTTTGTCAAAGATAAGTTGGTTATAGTTGTGTGGCTTCATATCGGGTCCTCTATTCTGTTCCACTGGTCTTCATGTCTGTTTTTGTGCCAGTACCATGCTGTTTTTATTGTTATTGCTTTGTAATATTTGAAGTCAGGTATTGTGATACCTCCAGCGTTGTTCTTTTGACTGAGTATTGCCTTGGCTATTCGTGGCCTCTTGTGTTTCCATATAAATTTAATGGTAGATTTTTCAATCTCTTTATGAATGTCATTGGAATTTTGATGGGAATTGCATTAAACATGTAGATTACTTTTGGGAGTATAGACATTTTTACTATGTTGATTCTACCAATCCATGAGCATGGGAGATCTCTCCACTTTCTATAGTCTTCCTCAATCTCTTTCTTCAGAAGTTTATAGTTTTCCTTGTAGAGGTCATTCACATCTTTGTTAGTTTACACCTAGGTATTTGATTTTTTTGAGGCTATTGTAAATGGAATTGTTTTCATATATTCTTTCTCAGTTTGTTCATTATTAGTGTATAGAAATGCTAATGATTTTTCTATGTTGATTTTATATCCTGCTACCTTGCTATAGCTATTGATGGTGTCTAGGAGCTTCTGAGTAGAGTTTTTTGGGTCTTTAAGGTATAGGATCATGTCGTCTGCAAATAGGGATATTTTGACAGTTTCTTTACCTATTTGTATTCCTTTTATTCCTTCTTCTTGCCTAATTGCTCTGGCTAGGAATTCCAGTACTATGTTGAATAGGAGTGGAGATAGTGGGCATCCTTGTCTGTTCCTGATTTTAGAGGGAATGGTTTCAGTTTTTCTCCATTAAGTATAATGCTGGCTGTAGGTTTGTCATATATAGCTTTTATAATGTTGAGGTACTTTCCTTCTATTCCTAGTTTTCTTAGAGCTTTTATCATGAAATGGTGTTGGATCTTATCAAAGGCTTTTTCTGCATCTATTGAGATGATCAAGTGGTTTTTGTCTTTGCTTCTGTTAATGTGGTTTATTACGTTTATTGATTTTCATATGTTGAACCACCCCTGCATTCCTGGGATGAAGCCTACTTGGTTGTGGTGAATATCTTTTTGATGTGTTGTTGAATTCTGTTTGCCATTATTTTATTGAGGATTTTTGCATCAATGTTCATTAAGGAGATTGGCCTATAGTTCTCCTTTTTGGAGGTGTCTTTGCCTGGTTTTGGGATAAGTGTAATACTGGCTTCATAAAATGTGTTAGGCAGTTTTCCTTCCCTTTCTATTTCATGGAACAGTTTAAGGAGGGTTGGTATCAGTTCTTCTTTAAAGGTCTGATAGAATTCAGCAGAGAATCCATCAGGTCCTGGACTTTTCTTTTTGGGAGACTCTTGATTGCTGCTTCAATTTCATTTTGTGTTTATTCTATTCAGGTGATTAATTCCTCTTGGTTCAGTTTTGGATGATCATAAGTATCTAGAAATCTGTCCATTTCTTTAAGATTTTCAAATTTATTTGAATATAGGTTCTCAAAGTAGTCTCTGATGATTTCCTGGACTTCCATGGTGTTTGTTGTTATCTCCCCTTTTGCATTCCTGATTTACTAATTTGGGTTTTTTCTCTCCTCATTTTAGTCAGGTTTGCCAGGGGTTTGTCGATCTTGTTTATTTTTTCAAAGAACCAGCTTTTTGTTTCATTAATTCTTTGTATGGTTTTTTTGGTTTGTATTTCATGGATTTCAGTTCTTATTATTTCTCTATTTGTTTTGGGATTTGCTTGTTCTTGTTTTTCTAGGAGTTTGAGATGTATCATTAGGTCATTGATTTGGGATCTTTCAGTCTTTTTAACACTCATAGCTATACACCTACCTCTCAGGACTGCCTTTGCTGTGTCTCATAGGTTCCGGTAGGTTGTGTTTTCATTTTCATTGACTTCCAGGAACTTTTTAATTTCCTCTTTTATTTCATCAATGACCCATTGTTCATTAAGCAATGAGTTATTCAGTTTCCAGCTGTTTGCATGTTTTTTGTCTTTATTTTGTTGTTGAGTTCTAGTTTTATTGCATTGTGATCAGATAGAATGCATGGTATAATTTCTATTTTCTTATATTTGCTGAGACTTGCTTTGTGCCCTGATATATGATCTATTTTGGAGAAGGTTCCATGGGCTGCTGAGAAGAATGTATATTGTGTAGAAGTTGGATGAAATGTTCTGTAGACATCAAGTAGGTCCATTTGATCTATTGTATATTTTAGATCTAGGATTTCTTTATTGATTTTTTTGTTTGGATGACCTATCTATTGATGATAGTGGGGTGTTAAAGTCTCCCACGACCACTGTGTTGACGTTAGTATATGCTTTTAGGTCTTTCAGGGTATGTTTGACATTGGGTGCATATAGGTTGATAATTATTATTTCCTTTTGGCCTATTTCCCCTTTTATTAGTATGGAATGTCCTTCTTTATCTCGTTTGATCAATGTAGGTTTGAAGTCTACTTTGTCAGAGATAAGTATTGCTACTCCTGCCTGTTTTGGGGGGCCATTAGCTTGATAAATCTTCTTCCAACCTTTCATCCTAAGCCTATGCTTATTTCTGTCGGTGAGATGGGTCTCCTGTAAGCAACAAATTGTTGGATCTTCCTTTTTAATCCAGTTTGTCAAATGGTGCCTTTTGATGGGGATTATTAAGTCCATTAACATTAAGTATTAGTATTAATAGGTATGTGGTGATTCCTGTCATTTAGTTGTCTTAGTTGTTTGAGGGTTTGATTGTGTGTACCTAAATAGATGTTTCTCTCCACTTTTTTGCTTTTTCTTTTCCTGAAGTTTGGTACTGCCTGCCCTTTCATGGTTATGTTGGGTTTCACTTTCTGTGTGCAGAATCCCTTGAAGAATCTTTTGTAGTGGTGGCTTTGTGGTCATAAATATTGTTTTAGTTTCTGCTTATCATCGAAGACTTTTATTGCTCCATCTATTTTGAATGATAGTTTTGCTGGGTAGAGTATCTATCCTAGGGTTGAAGTTACTTTCATTCATTGCCCGGAAGACCTCACCACAAGCTCTTCTTGCTTTTGATGCTTCTGTTGAGAAGTCTGCTATGATTTTGATGGGTTTACCTTTGTATGTTATTTGTTTTTTTCTCTCTTACAGCCTTAATATTCTTTCTCGAGTTTCTGTACTTGTTATTTTAATGATAATATGCTGTGGGGTAGTTCTATTTTGGTCAGGTCTGTTTGGTGTTCTGGAGGCATCTTGCACCTGTATAGGCATAGATTTCTCTAGATTTGGAAAATTTTCTGTAATTATTTTGAATATATTACGCATTCCCTTTGTTTGCACTCTTGAGTTGTTTAACTAATAGTTCTTCGGTTTTTCCTTTAATTAGCATTTTGTCTTCAAGTTCTGAGATTTTGTCTTCTGCTTGTTCTATTCTGCTGGATTGGCCTTCCATTCTGTTTTGCATTTCTGTTTCGTTCTTTTTTCTGAGGTTTTCCATATCCTGAGTTGCTTCTTCTTTAATATTGTCTATTTTCATCCTGAGCTCATTTCTGTCTTTATTTATCTTGTTCTCTGTTTCACTTTGGTGTTTACACAGTGCTTCTATAGTTTCTTTTATGTGTTCTTGTGTTTTCTCAAATTCTCTGTTTTTGTTGTCTTGGAATTTTGTGTCCCCTGTACATTTTGGTTGACTATATTCAGTATCATCTCTATAAAATTCTCATTGATTACTTGCAGTATTTCTTCTTTCAAAGTGTTCTTGTGGGCTTCATTGGGTTCTTTGGCATAGTTTATCTTCATTTTGTTGGAGTCTGGATCTGAGTATCTGTTTTCTTCATTTCCTTCTGGTTCCTGTACTAATTTATTACTGGGGGGAAACTGGTTTCCCTCTTTTTTCTGTCTTCCCCGTCATTGCCCTTGCTATTGTTATTGTCCCTGTACTGTGTGTAATTCAGTATTGCCTAGCTTGTAATAATAACAATTTCACCATTCTTCTGAATCAAAAAAGATGTAAAAACAAGTGAAAGCAAGCTAGGTGTCTGATATTCTACAGTACTTTCCGACAGCTATATTAAATTACAACAGTTATGAAGATTTGTGGCTTAACAGAATTCCTGTCAGCCCTATTCAGTCAGTATACTGTACTCTGCCAGCATCTATCTTAGCTTAGTAATAAACAATAGTGTCATAATACTTAGGGAGGGTTGAAGGAGATTATATTTGACCCATGATTCTTGTTTTAAATCAAATCACTTATACTTACTGCAGAGTAGCTGCTGCTTAGTGTTTGTGTGATCTAAGTTCAATAACCAAAATCATAGAGAAAGGAGTTACAGGAGCTTATAGAAAAAGAAAACCAAACAACAACAACACATCCCCCCTCAGTGTTTTTTTTCATGACATATGAGTAATAAGATGCTCCCTAACAGATCTCTGAATCTGAAAGAGAGCTATAGAACCAAGGCTTGCATTTACCTGTAACTCTTTTCTATGGGTAGAACTTCTACTGGCCTATGTGGCATAGTGTCTTGGTTCAATACTTATCATTTGGGGATGTACACAGCTGGGTATTTTTGCATACACCTGTAATCCTAGCATTCAGGAGGGTGAGGCAGGAGAATCACAAGTTTGAAGCAATCCCATTTCCCCCCCAAAAAGAATGCAAAATTTAGAATAGTTCTACAAATAATCTGTGGTTACAATTTTTCTAATTATAGGTTGATATGTAACTTCATTCTTTTTTGTAATAGAAAGCAATAGCATTTTGACCTCTTATTCATACTACATGATAGTTTCCATACACACATTTAGTAAAGGGTTCAAGCTGTTACTAAAATATACTTTCTGAGCACTGCTCGAATATCTGACAGTTTTAAAAGGCTGCTCTTAGAGTAACATTAAGTGTTACTTGGAAGTCTTCTAAAATGTAAGTTTCCCCAAGGACTGCAAATAAAACTCAAGTCATGTACTTGAATGTGTTCTTAAGGATCAGTGTAGAAATATATACCAAGCGATGTAAATCTAAAAATGGGACTAAGAAAAATACTTGGTTAAGATATCTTCAATTGAATCAGTCTCTGTTACTTAAAATAAATACTGGCTGTGGTAATTGCCATACCATTACAGATCTTTGCACTGTTCATACATCTGTGATATCACAAAATTACAACATGGAATAGTTCTTTACATAAAGTAGATGTTCTACAAATTCTGTCTGATTAAATGTTTAATGCAGTATACTGGTAAAATAAGTAAAAATGATTACCATTCGTTAAATGAACGCATATACCAATCTAAAGTAACTTCCGTTAAAAAGACAAAAATACTGTACTGTTTTGTAGTAGTCTAAATTCTTTATTACATAAATCCACTTTCTCAGGAAGATGATTTTTAAAAAGTGAGGTCTTGATGTCAATTTTTCCCTGAGAATATAATCATTTCACCCCTTAAGAATTAAAAAGTTAAGGTAAGTGCCAGGAGTATTATATAACAGAAATTGAAAACAACATGAAATGGGAAGTGGAAAACAGATCAAGCATAATATTTGGCATACCTGCTGCATGTATAGGTGTCCTCTTCAAAATGTAATCTTTTACTAAGATTGAGGCTCCCTGATTAATGAGTACATCCACACATTCAACATGGCCCTTAAATGCTGCAAGATCTAAGGGTGTTCTCCCACTATTATTTCTCACATCAAGATCTAACAAAGACTGTACCAACACTTCCAGTGCTTGATGGTGACCATGATAGGCCTAGAAATAAAAAAATATATATACACACAATTTAAAAAATATACATTTAGACTGACTTCTGAAATTCTTTCATTCATTCTTTCCTTCCTTTCTCTCCTCTTCCCTACTTCCTTTTTTTTTCTGTGGTGCTGGGGTTGAACCTAGACCCTCACGACCAGACAAGTACAGTAACACTGAGCTCCATCTCCAGCCACCCAGTACTTTAGAAAATGTAAAGTAAGCAGGTTTGTCTTCCCATTATTATTACATTTGAGATAATACAAACTTCTACATGGAGAATTCAGAAGTTAACAATATATTTTTCTATTAAACACAGAAGACTCTCACATTAGATAAGAAATATTTCTGTAAATAATGAAAGTTCAAACAGGTGTTATTTTCATGAGCATACAATGCTTGGTTCATGGCAGACAATGAATGGATATGACACAGACTCACATCACTCTTAAGTCTATGATTTCAAAGCCTGTGTTCTTATAGTTTATTGTTCCACATTAATCTTCTCTGGTATAATTTTACTATACTTTAATCACAGGGACAGCTGTAGAACTTGTTGAGTCAGTGCTTTAGTCTTTTTAGTTCTCAAATTGAAGTTGCTACTCCCATTCCATGTGCCAGAGCTCAAAAATGATTATTTCCTTTAGGACAAAAACACTTGACAGAGGTCTGTCCAAACATCTGTCATGTGCCAGGCATTGTCCTAGTAGTGCAAGAAAATAACATTTGAAGACCTGTCCCCTTCTTTCTACAGTATGATAAGGGAGCTTGCCAGATAGTTCATTTCAAAATTCAAGATGTCAACAAAACATGTACTATTATTCATACTTGACTGTATGCTGGGCAGGACATAAGGCAATAATAAACTTCAAAGGACTACAGAGCCATTTCTTATGGAAAATATCAGAAAGTACCAGCAAGAGATAAAGTTGCTCTGGAACTTACTGATCTCTTTGTGACTTCTGTGTAGGATGTTTGATTATCTACAAGCTTGACTACCTCAAAGATTAGAGCGACTGCAGAACACAGAACTCACTGTTCTAGGATCACATCCAATTCTGTTGCTCAATACCAGGTCAATGAAATTATGCTACTCCAAGAATGAACTGTGAGGAATCCCACTGAATACACAGAAGAGAGTATAAAAAGAAGAGAGAAAATAAGGATGACTAGAAGTCATGATGCTTTGCCATAGGGCCCTTCCCCGTGAGGGAAGGAGCCTGCATATCTAGTACAAGCAAAGTTTCCTTAAGCCTCAGGTCAGTGTTTTCACTGTAAAATGTTGTCCTAAATGGGAAAGTTTAAAATAAAAAAGTATTTCAACTAATTTCGAAAAACCTCTAAGGGTTAGATATGAAATGCAAAAACAGAAGTATAATCTAGTTAATATCATTGAGCCTAATACTAAATTGGAAAATGGCTCCCATTTCAGCTTAAAAATGCCATCTCACACACCCATCCTTATAGTAACACTCAGTTACAGAGATGGAAGCAATCCAGATGTCCACTGATGAGCATATAAACAAAATGTGGTATGTATGTACAATGGGATATTGTTCAGCCTCAAAAATGAAGGAAATCCTGATACATTCTACAACACAGATGAACCTTGAGAATAGCATGTTAAGTGAAATAAGTCAGTCACAAAAACAGAAATACAGTATGATTTTACTTAAATGAGGAATGTAGATTAGTCAAATTCACAGAAACAGCTAGAGGGAGAGGGAAATAGCGAGATGTTTAATAAGTATAGTTTTAGTTTTACAAGATGAAAAAGTTCTGGAGATTGGCTGGTTGTACAACAATGTGAATATACTTAGCACTACTGAATTACACTAAGAAATGGTTAAGAAGATAAATTTTGTTAAACTTTTCTTAAAAACTGCCATACAAAAATTTTTGACAAAGTTTTGAAAAAAGTAAATGAGAATGAGAGAAAGAGTGAGAGAGAATGCCCACTACTTAAAGTACAGCACATCATTAACCTGCAGGCCTGGTGTGGTGGTACACGTCTTTAATCCTAGCACTTGGGAAGCTGAGGCTGAAGGATAGAGAGTTCCAGGACAGCCTAGGCTACATAGTGAGATCCTGTCAGAGAGAGAGAGAGGGAGAGAGAGAGAGAGAGAGAGAGAGAGACAGACAGACAGAAAGACAGACAGACACAGAGAGAGAGAGACACAGAGAGAGACAATTTTACCAAAGTAGGGGTCAGGGTTGGGGGTGTGAAACACACAAGTATAAAATTTCTAAGCAAACATCATTAAGTTCACAAGAGAGTACTATAACAGACTGCAGGACTTTTGGAAGCCTTTATTTTGCTGAATCTCCATTAAAGGGAAAGAGTATGGCACATAGCAAGTGCTCAAGAAATGACAATGCCGTTATACTGTGAGAATGATGATGATGCAAGAACTGCCTAATCATCTGCTCAGAGCTCATTTTCATGCTACCAGTACTAAAACAGATATTTTCTGCTAGATATTTTTGCCTTTTCAGATTTATTATTTACTATGCAAGTCTGGTAGAGGTGATAGTGCTTCCTCGGGCTCAAAAGGGAAAGTAAGCAGAATGCTTTGGTGTGCCTTCTTAAGTTATTTACACCACAAAAGCAATACCAAAGGGAGAAAGGGGTAGAAAGAACAGACAGATTCAGTGTGTGTCACTGTGTCAGTGTTAGAACATATGCAAGGGGAATATTAAGATGAAAAATAAAAATACAGGTGAAAAGAAATAAATGGCTAATTGAATTGCCAGTAATCCCCAATAAATTAAGCATACACCCTATACTTATTTACTATACTTAACATCAGAAGTCTCACAAACAGTATCTTGGTCTCCTGATTCTCAAAGGCCCCCACTCAACATGCTTTGTTTAAAAATAAATTCTTTCAGTTCAGAAAGAGCTAACTGGGTTCTACTTAAAATTTCCTAAGGTAATTCATTCCCATACTTGACTTAAAGAATCATCATACTCTTTCTCCATCCATTTTCTTTCAGTGACTGGCACTGAGAGGAAAACTTCAGCAGAATCTTAAAATGGAAGGGACACTAGAGACCATGCAGTTAAGATTCTTAGCGCGAGCAACTGAAGTAGCACCGAACACACAACTATTTAGCAGTCTCGATCGCAAAATAAACAAAAAATTGCAGAAATAATGTAGAAATTATGTTTTATAATACTGGCCTAGTAAGTTAAAAGTCCATTTACCAGGGCAGCACATTTTAAAATTCATGTCAAAGATTCATCTTCTCCCTTATGAGTAGGACATGGGGGAAGCCATGTACCACCACTTAAGACAAAAAACAGTGCATTAAAAACATCTCTGGATTAAAAAAGTTCTTAAAGTTTAAATTGCGTGGTAAATACTACATGGATGGGAAGTTTAAATAGATGCTAGACATTTTCAATAAACCAGCTATCAAGTTGGCTATGAAGGCAGTACTCACAGCCAGGTGCAAAGGACTTATTGTTGCTCTATTATCCGAATCATTCAACATGTCTGTCCCGGAAGTTTCCATTAACTGAAAAAGAAGAGGCATTTTAAACGTCAGAAATGATACCTTTAGGTATACTGTAAGCTATTCCTCCTCTCCCTCTGTTCAAATCCATTTTAGAGAATAAACTGGTAACACAGCAAACTTCTAGAACAAGAGCATCACAGAAATGTGGTAAGGGTCACAGATTAAGAACTTTAAGGAAGGCTACACATTAAGTGGGAAAAAATTATTCAACTCCCCCAAGTAAACATATTCCCTGTTACTACACACCACTTTTCTCACACTGTCTCTGCTCTTAAGGATATATGTAAACATCTATAGCTTCAGTTCTACTTTTTTTTTTTTTTGGCAGGACTGGAATAACTCAGGGTTTTGCACTTGCAAAACAGGCGCTCAACAACTTGAGCCACACTTTCAGACCATTTTAGTCTGGTTATTTTGGTTCAGGCTAGCCTCAAACCATGATCCTCCTAATCTTAGCCTCCCGAGTAGCTAGGACTATAGGCATAAGCTATCGGTGCCCAGCTTCAGTTCTAATGGCAACAAGGGGAAGTAATATTTGGATGGCGGGGGGACTCAATTAATACTTACAACATCTAAAGGAGTTTCACTTGCAATCTGAAACAAAAGGTTAAAAACAAAGTTTAGGAAGTATTCATACATATGTCTTTACTTTCATAGGCTTTGCTAACTTCTATTCTAAACACATCTCCTTTGCCTCCAAAAAAATTAAGACTTTTACATAAGCAGTTATACAATACAATAGACCACAAATCAATATACACAGGTTGAAGATTTTAGGATAACAATCCATAATAACTTAAGAAAACATGGGTTATTTTTGTAGCAACTACTGTATTTTCTTTTATCTTCACCTCCCCTGAAATTTATCTCCACTTGAAGGGAAGTTTAATGTATATTACAATGTAAGTCTATATAAAGGAACCTTTAACCTGAAATATCTGCTCCACAGGAGTATATTTTAACTTGTCCCTTCCTTTTTTCTGGTTTGGCAAAGTGGGGTGAGTTTTATGTATACCCAGGATGAGACCCTCTATTAGGAGGTATTGTGAAATGAAAGGAACTTTCAGAATTCTCTAAACATATGGGAGGAGCTTGCCTCTCACAGGAGCTTTTAGTTCTCATGTAAAATATAGTTACAGTTTTTCAGAAATTTATGGGGCAGATTTAAAGGGGGTGAAGCAGTAGATGTTGTAGGCACAGGGATATGAGATGAGAAAAGGATATAAATAGCCTTCTCCAGAGATTTATATATTTGTTTTTGTTTTTTGTTACTTTTGAGACTCACTATGCTGCTCAGGCTAAACCCAAACTCTTGGGCTTAAGTCATCCTCCTAAGGCAGTAGAGACAGATAAGGAGACAGGAAATTACATTATTTTAAATAAATATTGAAAGGGTGAGACTCAGACATTAAACCCAAGAAGTAAAAACTGAAGAACTAGGGCAATTAGCTCCATTCCACCACCTCCTTTTAGATGTTAAGTTATAAGCTATATAGGGAGATACAGAGGGACTCTCTGCATCTGCCTTCCTCTTTGAGATGTTAAGAAGTTAAAAGGCTCCTTGAAGAAACAAGGAAAAAACAAACAAATCCTTTGTTTACTGATTGGGAGCTGCTAGCTGACATGTACTTCCCAGCTCACAAACTATAAAGTCTACAGATAAGAACCACTATTTAGAGTCTCCACTCTCATTTCCTGACTGGGGAGCAGGAATTGTTTCTCCCCTCCTCCCGCCATCCCTATACCAAAATAAATCCTTCCTAAAACTTTCACTTTATGAGACATCTTAAAATTCTTGTGAGTGTGGATCTTAAGTACCTGTGATTTTGCATGGAAACTAAGAAGCTTTGGGAAGCCCAACTCACTCTTCATCTGGTGACACTCCTGCCTAGGCCTCTGTAGTAGCTCAGACTACAAATGCACACCATTGTATCCAGTTCCTCTCCAGAGATTTTTTTTTTTTTTTTTTTTTGAGAAATTATCTCACTATGTAGCCCAGGCTGGCCTGGAACTCACTCCTCCTGCCTTAGCCTCTTAAGTGCTAGGTGCTAGGATTACAGGTTGTGTGCTGGGCTCAGAGATTTAATGTTATTCTTTTTCCTTTCTTTTTCAAAAATAAAAGAAAATAAGACAGCTCACTAAAGCAAGTATGAAATGAGGAGGAATATGGAGTATGAAAATGTAAAAAGGACAACACAATGTTTCTTTTTTGCCTGTTCTGGGATTTGAATTTAGGGCACTGTGCTTGCTAGGCAAGAGCTCTACCACTTTAGCCATGCCCGAGCCTTAGAATGTTTGTTGAACCATTTCTTCTCATTTTCATTACATTTCTAGACTATAAACTCACATTAGCCCTTTTATGAGAATTCAGGAATCTTACCAGCTGAAGACACAGACGGTGACCATACGCAGCTGAATAATGAACTGCATTATATCCTTGCTTGTCTCGGATCCCTGGATTTGCATCGTTTCTTAGTAAGTATTCCAGGCACCTATACACAGTAACAACATACTGAAAATTCTATCTCCTGCATTTTTAACCAATGATAAAAGACAGACAAATTAACTGACAATCTTTCTTATACTTGAGTAAAATAAACCATAAATATATATAAATGATAAAAATCTGTCATTTAAGTGACAGGCTTAAGTATCATAAAACACCAATGAAATATTGTTCATAAGAGAATCTCCTTCCTTCAAAGTGGGTAACTCTAAAGTCTGTCAGCAGACTCTTTTTCAAGTAGCCACTATGGATGGTACCACCTACTTCATTCAAACAATGTTTATCCACTGAGGATAAAACTCTTAGTGTTGCATACAGTGTTGCAATATTACTGCTTATCAAGGTAAATAAAACACTGAGTATAATTTCTCATCCAGAAGGTCAAGAAAGGATATAAACTCTGCCCACAACATACCAAAGTCAGAATTTAATGTTCTTGAATTGGGAGAAGAAGGAATATAGAAAAAGAAGAAAAGTGGTATGAAGGTAATGAGAAAAGCCTTCTTGTAAGAGATACTTCAATTCTGGGCTATTAAAATATAAGAAAAACAATTTTAAAAGTGACTATATGGATCTCAATTTGTTATAATTTTAATAAACAGTATTATAGCAAAGAACACAGATACTGTATTTGAAATTAGATTTGCCTCTAGAGATTAGTTTGGTATCAGTAATCTTGGACATATCATTTCACCTTTATGATGAAACAGCCTCTATATTCACTTGATAGGTAGGGACAGAGATTACAATCAAATAATCTAAAGTCCATTCATGCTCAAATTCCAAGTATATAATTATTTATTGATAGTTTGTCTAGTATTCCAATATAATATCTACTCAGATATTATTTTTACCTAGGGTAAGAAGAATTATATGGTCAAATATTCCTTGTTAAAAATTCAAGTTTCCAAAAAGCAAATGAACAGAGACTCTACAGCAATGTAGTAGCTCTATCATATGATATATACATATATGAACTACATATATCGGCCATTCTTTCAGTGCTAACCCTTATTTTGCTGAATTGCCTAAAACTCTTTAGATCTCTTAGGAATTACTTTCAGAACTTTTTTTGTGGTATTAGGGGTTAGACTTTGAGTTTAGAGCTTACACTAGATAGGTAGATGTTCTACCACTTGAGTCATGCCCATAGCCCTAAAATTTCTATTGTAATACCTTCACTGATAGCAAATGTTCATTTCTTTAAGAAGGATTTTGATATTTATGCACAGCTAAAACCTTTGGAGTCAAGCATATTGAATAGGGAAGATCATTAAAATGGTATCACTGTTAGAAAAGAAAAAAAACCTAAACTCTATCTGTCTCTAAAGTAATGAGACTGGTATTTTTTTTTTTTTGAAGTTTCATAAAACAGCTCTGAGGCCACTTGAGGAAGAGGAAATGCTTCAGATAATGTATGTGCAAGCTGTGAGTACAGACTTCCTAGATGTCCAATTCAGAAGGCAGCATTCACTGAACTGAAGAAAGGCCTGTAGGGCAGCCCCATTGCTTTACAGGCACAAACATTAAACTCAAGGCATTAAAAAAAATCTTTAATCAAGTTCTTTAGATGAAAATGATTACTCACTGACATATGAATAGAAAACAAATTCTATCAGTGGAACAAGCTATTTTAAAATAACTCTGATACTTGAGTACTGAAGAAAAGATTAAGGAAAGCAAAACAAATTCATGTTTGTTTTCTAAAGCATGAGAGCATGTCCTAATGCATTATTTCCACTGAATCAAATTCATACCACTAAATGGTTTGAAGTAATTTGTTATACATGCAATTCTTATCAAATTGTACTGTTTAATTTTTAATATTCACAATACTCAAGTTGCTAGAGCTCATGCTATAAAACAAAAACTAAGCTGGTTTATATTAGCAAAATTTCTTTTATTAACATGTCTCTTAGACTTTGCTAATCAATATGAATTTTCACAATTACTTTATTAGATATGTTCAATTCAAAAAGGAATTATCTTTAACAAGTGAAAAAAAAATTACTGACACTTAGGAAAGTTAAGCAACTTGTCCCAAATTCAGTGTCTAGAATACGATAACGCAAGGACTAGACCTCTTCTGGTCTTACACTTTTCATCCAGTATTCTATCTACACTGTTGCTCCCACAAAGCTTCAGCAGAGTGGTTAATAAATTATAGTAATAATCTAACTTGAGTGCTTATAAAATACTAAACTAAAAAATTACTTGACTTTGAAAATCTGGACTGCAATTTTAATTTGCAAATAAGGAGGGAGAGTGACCATTTTTCCTGATTTTAAATTAACATATGCTCATTTTATAAAGCTGAGACAAGAAATGAAGATTCTCTATATTCTCTCTTTCCCCTAAAAATGTGTGCATTTTCATGAAAATGTTAATGGCTAAATAATAAACACTTGTCACAATTTTATTTTTTTTAAAATTTTTTTCACATTTTAAAATTTTATTTATTTATTTTTATTCATACGTGCATACAATGTTTGGGTCATTTCTCCCCCCCTTCCTCACCCCTCTCCACTCCCTCCCTTACCCCCCCCCCTTACCCCTCATTACCCGGAAGAAACCATTTTGTCCTTATCTCTAATTTTGTTGAAGAGAGAGTATAAGCAATAATAGGAAGGAGCAAGGGTTTCTGCTAGTTGAGATAAGGATAGCTATACAGGGAGTTGACTCGCATTGATTTCCTGTGCATGTGTGTTACCTTCTAATTCTTTTTGATCTAACCTTTTCTCTAGTTCCTGGTCCCCTTCTCCTATTGGCCTCTGTCACTTTAAAGTATCTGCATTAGTTTCTCTGAGTTGAGGGCAACAAATGCTATCTAGTTTTTTGGGTGTCTTACCTATCCTCATCCCTCCCTTGTGTGCTCTCGCTTTATCATGTGATCAAAGTCCAATCCCCTTGTTGTGTTTGCCCTTGATTTAATGTCCGCATACGAGGGAGAACATATGATTTTTGGTCTTTTGGGCCAAGCTAACCTCACTCAGAATGATGTTCTCCAATTCCATCCATTTACCAGCGAATGGTAACATTTTGTTCTTCTTCATGGCCGCATAAAATTCCATTGTATAAGAATACCACATTTTCTTAATCCATTCGTCAGTAGTCACAATTTTGTTTTCATCACTTAATGTTAAGACAAATTAAAATATCTTCATCCCAAGTGAGCACATAAGTTAAATGAGAGTGCATTTCATATTACCTAAATTTCTCCTATTCTTCCACCCATGAATTCCTACAATTTTGATTGTCATGAAAATTCCAACTTTGTATTCAAGTCCCTGTGTCTCATGGCAGATCACAGTTCTCATAAAGACCATTCATCACAGAAGGGACATGGTACATTACTGCCTGAGGCCCTCCTTATTTTTCCTTCCCATAATGGTATACATGTTCTTACCTCTCCCACCAAGATATTAAATATAATTAAAAACACAGCTATCCTCTGGGTGTTTTGGTGCAAGACTGTAATCTCAGCACTTGGAGAGGCTGAGAAAAGAGTTCAAGGCCAGCATGGGCTACATAGCCAGACCGTCTTCAAAAACAAACAAACAAACAAACAAACAGTCCCAAAGCAAAACTAAAAAATTGTATCACGTACTGTTTAAGCAATTCATATATACTAAACCCATTTAAACTTCACATGAACATGAGTTAGGTCAGACGATCTCCATTTCACAAAATAGGCTTAGATAGATTAAATAACCTGTCCAATACTCCAAAGTAAGCAGCAGAGCCAGTTGCAAACACAATGTCTTGTATACACAAGATGAGTTTAACAAGGTTTGCTAATACAAATCATACATAAATGTTAAATGCATGTTCTAATATCACCATAAACAAAATGAAGTTTAAAGATAAATTTATAAGACAGACAACCCTAAACAAAGCTGTCAGAAGTTAAAATGTGATCTCATTTTGTAAGAGTGTGCCTATGCTCTTCTTGTTTGTATCTTCCCCAATCCATATACTGAAATCCTAACCCCAAGGTATGGAAGGCTAGGCCTTTGGGAGGTGATTATATCACCTTCTTGAGTGGGATCAATGACCACATGAGTGAGTCCTAAAGAAGCCTTTTTACCCTTTCCACCACCAACTGAGGATACAGCAAGAATATGGCTTTCAGTGCTATATGCCAACACCGTGGTCCTGGATACAACAACCAAACCTTTAACATTTTGACTAACATGAAATGATCTACATACACATGCAGCAGTAAAGGGTTAATGGTGGCTCTCTCAGAGTTGGTGTGAGGAGGAATTCTTCCTTGTATATAGTATAATCAGGAAAACCCTAAATATATATATATATTCCATTTTATTTTGTTTTTATCGACAAATCTAAAGAAGTAGGTTAATTTCATAGGTGAAGAAACTTACTTAGCAATTACTTTCATAGGCTCAAACAGGTTCAACACAGGGACCCCAAGATTTGAGTCTTTATGATGCAGTATGTCCATGCTCTTTCTAATACTTCAGACTCTGACAACATAGGTTTAAAAAAAAAACAAAAAACAAAAAAGTCCCTAGCTTCCCTGCTCAAAACAGTTTGTATTAGGCAAGAAAATGAATTATTTGGGCTGGGGATGTATTTCAGTGGTAGAGCACAAAGTTTGCCTAGTGAGTGCAACATTCTTGGGTTCAATCCCTAACACCACAGAAAACAAAACCCTATTGATTTAATTTACTTTTTTCTATCAAAAAAGTAGATTAACTCAAAACAAAACCACAAAATCTCAACACCATGTTAATTTTTTTGTTCATAAAACTTCAGGTTTCACACAACTGCCTAAGGGCTTAGGAATATAGTGTAATCTGTGTCTGTGTGCTGTGCTTGGGGCACCCTCTCATTGGAATTTAGATCATGCTGAGCTATACCCAAGGCCAATAGCCAGTCTGTGTGAACAGTGGTAAAGATGGTGATCAAAGTCACTATATGTATAACCATTTTAAACAAAAGTTACAGATCAAATTCCAAAATTATAAAAGTAAAGAATCAAGGGATTCTCATCTAAGCTTACCAAAGTATTTTCTTATTTATAGTCATTACCATAGATTTCCTTTAAATAGCTACCATTCAAAAACATACTTCAAATACTTTGACTTCTCCCCAAATCTATCTATAGCTCACTTTTCTGACAAATATAAAATTGTCTAAAATCATACATTCCTAAAAGATAGAAGGTACACTTTATAAGTACCTTTAAGATTAGAATTTGTATACTAAATTAACATTTGAGATTAATACCACTGAATTACGATTTTTACTTTGAGGATAAAATGTAAATACTAAAAAACAAACAGTTCTATATTAAATGTAAGTTCCTAGAATATAGTTTATTGTATCTTTCCTTAGGAATCATTATTTTTCCTAATGGTATTTTTATTCTTCACAGAATCAAGAGACATGGGGAATACCACAGACATTGAAGATCTGTTTTCTGTCTTTAGCAAACTTACTTTGTTCCAAGGAGGGAAAAATGTGTGTGTGCATGCGCATGAAGGTACTACAAATGGGTATGGTAACTGAGGACAACTTATAAAACAGTTTGTGTATCATTCATTTTATATTTGGTCAACATTTACTTACTGTCACCTCATTTATTTACTAATGGACCTACTATGTGTCAGATTCTTCAAGTTTAGCTGGTACCTTCTTGAAGGACTCCTTGCAAATCTGAGGTCTCTACCTCTGAAGGATATGTGTATTCCAATCTCTATTCTGGTACTATCTCTTCCCTTTCCCTTATAAATAGAAAAAAACCATGCAAGTGATATCAAGATATTCTTTTGGCAGGGAGGATATGCAGGAACCTTTATCTTTCTTTTACCAGTAAGGCAAGTTGCTGAGAAGAAGTTAGTAATAACTATGATTTAGGAATAATGAAATCTATTTATTTCCAAAATTAACGACTCTGGAAAAGACAGTAACAGAAATACAAAAAGGAAATACAAATTGGCAATAAAAATAATCATCCACACAGAGACACCAGTTTACAGAACTAATAATCCCCTCCCTCACCCATATGGTACTTACTTGCCATCTGTATCTGATGTAGCGGCATAGTGCAGGGGTGTGCAGCCTCTTTCATCAAGGTCATTCACACTTGCTCCTGATCCCACAAGAGCAAACAGGCACTGGTAATTGCAGTTGGCAGCAGCATAGTGCAGTGGTGATCTTATGTGCCAAGTTAATATAAGAAAGACAGAAGCCAGGTTCATACACTAGTAAACAAGAACACAGCTGACTCTTACTCCATTCATTTGCAAACACTGTATTTACAGTGAGCCTCACATTCATTTCTACCACATACCAAGTCTTTTGGAAGGCAGAACATAAAACTGGGAGAACAAAGTAAAGTGGTAAACTTTTAGTATAAGTCAGAATCACAGTTTTAAATTATTAACTGGTTCCCAAAGAAATGCAATCGAATCCCTTGAGTGAATTACAAACAACCTCCATGTTCTGCTTAGAAATTTGAAAACTTTCATTTTAACAAAGCTTCCCCTATACTAATAAAAATGTCCCACAGTACAGAGCACCCGCCACTCATATCTCAGTAAAGGAATAATAAAAGAGTAAGAGAAGGGTGAAAAAAAAAAAGCATTAAAAAAAAATGCTTGGGGACTGCGAGAGTGGCTCAAGTGGTAGAGCATTTGTCTGTTTAGCAAGTGTTAAGTTCCTTGGTTCAGACCCCAGTTACCCACCCCTCCAAAAAAAGGTATCAAGACCTTGTTTCAAAATGCTAAGAGATGAAGAGAGAGAGAGAGAGAGAGAAGAATATTTGGTTATATTGATTGCACAGTAGATGTGAACAGTAATACCAGATTTCTTAACCAGTGAAGGCACAGTTTTAAAGACTAGTCATAACTCAGAAGAGCTAAAATACTGTTTTAATTTCTGAAGACGGGATATTTGTAACTGACTTCTTCCTGGTTACTAAGGTACAACACAAAGTTACTAAATTTAGGGGGAAAACGATGACTTAATGATTTCATTTAAAAAAAAAACAGAAAAATGATGGCAAATTTAGTCTGACCTTCTTCATAGTTCAGACATATACACATATATATTTTTGGGGGGTGGTACACATATATATTTTTTGGATTGATCTTGGGGCTTCCCGCTTGCTAGGAAGGTGTTCTCCCACATTAGCCATACCTCCAGCCCTTCATAGTGTAATTTTTTTCCTAACACATTTACCTAGTAAAATAATAGTAAAACATTCTTTTGCCTTTACTGGATAATATGGAGATTTTGAAAATGTAGTTAACAATGAATTACTTAAAAGCTTCTAAACTCACAATATGCTTCAGAAGCCTTCCTGCTATTTGTAGTATGGAATGTTGTTACAAATTAATATAAACTAGATTAAAAAATAATTGTAAAAAAAAAATTGTAGAAGCAAATGGGCTATAAAAATAATGATTATGAAGCCAAACTAGTTACTAGTTCCTTCCATTAGTAGGCTGATGAGATCAGTCTGTTTCTCAAAGTAATCATGGGGTCAAATAGTTTTTTCTATTTATTTCTGATTTTATCCCATACATAATTATTATTTTCTTCTTTTTGGCACTGGTCCAATCATACGCACGAAATACATTCACATTTCCTGCTGACACACACCCTTCCCTGTCACAAACTTTGATATGTATAATTTTCAACTGCTGACACATTAATTTTGCTTATACTGTCACCTTCATCTTTCAAAAACATTCAAACTACCCTTAATTCTTTCTTATATGGTTCTAGTGCACTCTGTGTGTCTATTTCTGCTGTCAGTAGAAATAGCTTAAAATAAGCTTCAACTGCTACCACAAATGTTAGTAAAAAATGACACCTGGGGCTGAACAGTTAGAGAAAACATTGACTGAATGATAACAGAGATGTTGTCATTGCATAGTTGCTTTCCTACAGACTATACTCAGGGGGATATATGGTTGTATGTGTGAGAGTTATATAGAAGACAGACAGTAAGTATCATACATACACACCTATAATTCTACTTTGGAGGCTGAGATTAGGAGGATCACATTTCGAGGCAAGCCCAGCCATACAGCGAGACTCCATCTCCAAAATAACCAGAGCAAAATGGACTAGAGGTGTGGCTCAAGTGGTAGAGCGCCTGCTCTGCAAACATGAAGCCCTGAGTTCAAACCCCAGTACTACCACCAAAAAAACAAACAAACCAAAAACCACCCACACGTTTGTAACCTACTTCCTCTTTCTTTAATACTGGGACATATAATGGCATATAATGGGATATAACTGGTTATAGATAGGAAGACTCTCTCACAAAGGAATGGCATGGGAAAGAACAGTTACTATGCTCTAGTTACTATTAGTTTTGTTTTTTGATATTAATTTTTAGAAAATTATTTTTGAGTTAGCATACATTAATAATATACCATGAGTTTTTTGAAGGCATATTGGTACCAAAAAGTTTTAAATTTCCATAGCCAGGATTATGGCAGGAAAAGAAATAATATCAAGAAGTACAGAGAAAAGAAAGAAAAAAAGATTTACAGAGGTACTTATAAGGGTAAGATATCAAACAGAAAACTGGGTGAAGATTAAGGTTTTTTTCTTTTTTAATGGGACTGGAGTGTGCAAAGAAGGTGCTTTACCACTTGACTCATATCTCCAAAGAATAAATATTTAAAAGCTATTGACTTTAGTTGGGTCTGTCTGTCTTTTTTGCAGTGCTGGAGAGTGAACCCAGAACCTTGTAGGTGCAAGGCAAGCACTTTACCAGTGTGCCATACCCCCAACCCTAGTTGGGACTCTAAATGAATCATGATCGCACTGCAAAAGATGCTGAAATGTAAAATTAATTTTCAGAAGTTAGAAGGTTAAACAAGTCACTAAGGAAACAAAGTTAATTAGGCTATATAGAGGAACTATATCATAACCTACCTCCCAAATTTGTCCTTTTTGTTGAAGTCTGCACCAGTATTCAGCAGAAGGTTTAGGCACTCCAAATTTCTACTCGGCGGGGCAGAGGAGGGGGGAGAAGAGTTAGAAAATTTAATTTTCAGTGACTTTATAATAAAATTAATAGGTTTCAATAAGCATAAAAGCATGTTTTTAAATGAGGGTAAATGTGAATAAAATGGCATAATTTACATTTTATGAAGAATAACACATTAAAACTCATTTAATATTTAAAAAGTTATGTACATACATACATACTGGCATAATGATAGGAAATAAATGTAATCAGGAGATTACATCTGTAAAAAATTGTGAGAAATTTTTAGGAAACAAATATTCTTATAATTAAAAGGTTTAAATTTAAGTGGTTTTTCATATAGAATTAAAACATTAAAAAAGTCAAAATCCTGAAAACAGATAAAACCCCACTGCCAGCTGCTTACTTAGATACAGCCTTAGCTAAAATTGTAGCAGAGTACATTGCACACATGGGGTATTTCTGTAATTCAATTTTTATAAACCTGAACATCAATTTCATAAATTACAATGAAAACTGTGACTGCCAAGTCATCACACACTCAAGTCTGTTGTTCTCTCTTATAACTTGTAGGCAAATTACACAAAAATGAGGTATGAAGTGGAATGTTCTTTGGTGACCTGGAAGGGAATCTGTCACATGTTTGCAATCTATCTATATAATTTAGACTGGCTTGGTTGTTATTCTTGGTTTATTAACCTTGTCCTCTGAAATCATGACAAAACTTTAAGGAATTAACATTGGAAATAGTGATTTATAAAATCCTTTTGAAAAATCATGAATTAAAACGCTTACCACAGATCTATTGTAAGTATTAAATTAGTATAAAATTATTTTTTCCAGAGACCAAGACTTCTGTCATTCAGTAGAACCAACTGCTTAGTTGTTCCCAGTAGTACTGTTTAAAACTTAATCCAAACTATGGAGAGGGTCTCTTATGTCAGTAGCAATCCCAACACTAAGGAGGCTGAGGCATGAGGATTGCAAATTCGAGGCCAGCATTGGCTACATAGTGAGACTCTGTCTCAATAAATAATATATATATCAGAAAACTACATACAAAAACGTCTAAATCTTCCAATCCCAAAATTTTCTCTTTTTACTTGAGGCAAGACAAAAATATACCATCAACATTTTTTCCCTCTAAAGATAACATTTTAAAAATATGTATTTAAAGGGTACTAGTATTATTCAGGACATTCCTAATATTTCATGTTCTCATTTAAGGACATATACTTTTTATTTAAGAAATCACCTTTATTAGTTTTTTCATTTATCCAGGAATTACTTTCTCTTATAAAAAGTAGTATTTCCTTTTTGTAGGTTCATTCTTTTTCTCTCCTACTTACAACCTAAGATTTTGGTGAAAGATGAAAAAAAGAACCTCTTCTACCCTAGACTTGCCTTTTCCAAACAACTATTATGTTTTGTTTCCTATTTTGCTGTAGCACAGACAAATAAAGAGAAACAAAGAGAAAACTTCCATGGACTGACTGCCTGCCTGACTCCCACTCCTCCCTCCCTTTTTCCTTCCTCCTACCATCCATTTATTTTGGGGGCTAGGATTGGACCCAAGACCTAAGACATGCCAAGTTCACGCTCTCCCACTGGGCTGCACCCTCAGCCCTGCCCACCTTTTTAAAGAAATAGAAATAGTATTAACATACCCTCCAGCTGCAGCTGCATGCAGACAGGTTCTGCCAAAATCATCTGGGGTGTCTATATCAAATCCTACAAGAATGAATGTCTTACTTAGTAAATGATATTACAGATGTATCACTTTGCAGTAAAGTATTATGTCAAGAAATGTGAAGTACCACATCCTTCGTATTCCAACCCCAACTATGAGTTCTGAGAAGTACAAAATAAGAAAAAATTTTTAAATAATGCACAACTTTACAAAAAAAATTATTACTGGTGGATTGGTGACTTTAGAAGAAGTGCAAGAGTGCTTGTTTAAAAGGTGACATACGCACAGTGGCTCACATACCTAATCCCATAGTTCTGGCTACTATGGAGGTTATGGCAGGAAGACTGATTAAACCTAAGAGTTGAAGGCCAACCTGGGCAACACAGCAAAACCCAGCACAAACCAACTAGTCAACCACACACCCACCCCCCAACTTCAAAAAGGCTACAGAATACAATGGAATATCACTCAGCAATAATAAAAAGAAAGTATTGACTTTGATACAAAGACGACTTCTAAGAACATTATGGTAGTGCAAAAAACCAGTCACAAAAGATTATATGCTAGGTGATTCCCCATTGCTATGAACCACTCAGAATAGGCAACTTTAGAGACAGAAAGTACATTAGTGGTTGTTTAGGGCTGGGGAGAGAGAAAATGGACACTAACTGCTAATGGTGTATGTGCTTCTCCCCTCCCCCCCTTTTTAAATAAGGATTGAAGATGTTTTAAAAATGAATTGTAATAAAGTTTACATACCCCCATGAACATATTAAAAACACTGAATTGTACACTTTCAGTCTGTGAATTGTACAGCATGTAAATTCTATGTCAATAAAGTTGTTTAGTTAGGCACAGTGGCATATAACTCTAATTTTAGCACTCAAGAGGCAGAGATAGGAAAGGCCAGCCTGGGCTACATAGCAAGATCAGGTTAAAAAAAAAAATCCATAGGTATTTTTTACCTATAGATTATTATTAACACTGGGAGTCAAAATTTTCATATTCTCTTTCATGGAAAATGAGCATGTTAATACTTGTGAGTTGACATACACACTTAAAAAAGAATTAACTCAGCTAAATATTAAAATCTCAAAAGTGTCTGTCTCACTTTATAATGTTATAATATTTTATTTTATCTTCAGACTGGGTCTCACTGTATGGTCCAGACTGGCTTGGAACTCATTATGTAGGCCAGGCTGGCCTCAGACTCACAATCTTCCTGTTTCAGCCTTTTCAGAGAGCTGAGATTACAGGCATATGCCACCAAGCCCAGCTTTATAATGCTAATTTTCACTGAAACTGTTTCATAATTGTTTCAGTAAACATAAAAGTATTAATGCAAAAAATTTATTCAATAATCTTAATGAGAAATATAATTTAAAATTTAATTAAATCATATATTTAATAATTCAATGCATTTAATAAGGATTATACTGTATAGTAGTATTTATAGAAATCCACTGATTCTGTTTGGTTTCAAACCAACTATGATTATGGCATTTTAAACCACTTATGAGATACTGCATAAATAATTTCACAAGCCTAGAAGATATCACAGAATGGCTCTGGAGTCTAAGTGAAGGTCAAGATGTGTAAGGGACATGTAAGTGAAAATATCTGGTTTCAAAGTCCAAGAAGAACACCATCCCATGAAGAGACATTGCTGTAGAAATTACTCCATACCCCACTCCCAAACAACAAACGAGAGGAAGTCACTAGAAAGATAAAACATTTCTCGGAGCTAATGGAAAAACAGAACATAAAAAGCTCAACATATTCTAAGAGGAGTTAATAATTAGTTCATACTTAGACTCATTTATATACAATTTTTGAAAAACAGTATGCGATTCTGTTAATATTTGAGGAGGAAATCTGTGAAGGGTCCACTTGCCTAAAGAAAGAAGTTTTCTGCAGCAATCTGAAAAACCACTTAAGGCTGCCAAATGGAGAGGAAACATTCCATGTATGCCACGCCTAAAGGTAATAGGACAGAACCTTCATTACAACACAAGAAAAATACAGTCATTTAAATTAGACAAAGAGATTACTTAAGTGACAGGTAACTTAGGTAAGTCAAAATTTCAAATACTTTGGAGAACAATTCGGCCACAGAATAAAGGTAGGTATGGTTTACTACCCAGCTATGTTTTTTCTTCAAATATTAAGTTTTTTTCAACCTTAGCACTACTGTTATTATGGGCTTTGTGGTGTATGTGTGGGATCTGTCCTGTATATGTAAAATGTCAGCAACATCTCTGGGTTATACTTACTAGATGTCATTGACACCTTCCTCCTCAAACAGAAATGTCCCTGGGTATTTGCTTAGGGAGAAAAACTTGATCTCATATTGCCCCACCATTTAAACCATGCCCATAAGGCAACATGTTCAAGAATACTCATTGCAGTAAATAACCATAAGTGAAAAATTGGAAGCAACTTATGCTTGTGAATAACGAGAGTGAATGAATTGTGCATTTTTATACAATAATTAAATTCCACAAAAACAAACTAAAGATACTCAAAGAGATGTGAAAAGTTCCAAATTTTATTATCTGTATGGTTAAATCAGTAAGCCAACAAAAAATGATTTTAAGTTGCAAAAACAGTATGTACACTAGCTTATCATTTATGAATGTATAAAAGGTTTAAAACTTGTTAATGAGTATATATAAATGTGGAACACAGGGATGATAACAGCAATTAAGTATGTATGGTCTTTACTTCTACAGAACACAGACAAGAGAATTCATCTTCCAAACAAGTTTTACAAGGAAAGTTTAATATGTTTAAAAAAAAAAAAAAGTGAACTGTTCTGACTAAAAGGGTGGGGTGGTAGGGAGGGGCTGCTTTGTAGCAGCATCTAAGGAATCTCTGATCTCTGCACGGCACAGTCTGAAAACCATTAACTATAGATGGTAAAAGAAAAGCATTTGCTGTGTACAACTTTTTTGGTGACTTCTAAGTACTTCTAGATTAAAAATAATGAGATCATGCAAATTAAATTTCTGGTCCAAACTTTGTATTACTCATGATAAAGAACTGAGGTAAGTAAAGTAAGTAAAAATACACTACCCTGACTGACCAAATAAAATTATACTTAAAGTATTTTAAATCTACCACACTGTCAGTACAAAAAGATAAGAAAAAAGCATGAGTGCTACAATATTGAGAATAAAGTGCACAATTCAACCTGAAACACCTAGTAAACTGCTGTTCACTTTCTTTTGTGATTCACTGACAGCTGTCAACACTTCTGTAAGTATTACTTACTTTGCAGTGTCAGCACCACTTGTAATAAGAGTGTTGATTAGCAGCTCGTGGCCATACCGTGCTGCTATGTGCAAAGGGGTATTTCCATTCTTATCTTCACAGTCAATTACAGCTCCTGCAATAAAGGACATAATGTCAGACACTTGACTACATAAAGATCAAGTCAAACCTTTTACATGCAATGTAATATAAAATGTTTGTGTTCAAGCACAAGTTAATGGATCTAGCAATTCTAACTAGAGTTCATTATAGCATAGTTATTGGACTAGGCACTTGGGGTTACGGATTTTATGCTTAAAGTGATTTTGGTTAAGTTCAGAAACCACTGTGTTAAAATTAAATATACTTCTTTAGAGCAATACTTTTCAGACCTTTAATGTGCATATTAGCTGCTTTAAAAATCACTTAACCATGAATCTGTTAAGTTTTCCCTGTAAAACTATGGAACCAATAAAACACTGAATCTTGTACCAACTACTATACCTGGAGGATTATTAAACAATTCCTTGGAACATGGTTTGAGAAACATAGATTTAAAGTACCTAAAAGTTCTTATTTAAAAGTTTAGCTTGCATTGTACTACTTTAAACACAAGAGAACAAAGTTCAGAAAATAAACTAAAACCCTAAAAAATCCCCCAAACATTCAAAGGGTAAAAAATGATAACTATAAACAGAGTATGTATGTATATGTATGTGTGCGTGTCTCTCTCTCTCTCTCTCACACACACACACACACACATTCATTAATATAGAATACATGTAATACAAAGAGTCTTCTACTTAGTAACACGGGAAAAAAAAAAAGTCACCAATAACTCCAACAGAAGCAAAATTTCTAGTCAGGAGTGGTGGTTTATGCCTGTAACCCCAGCACACGGGGGTAACAGCAGGAGGACCAAGAGGTTTTGAGGGGCCTGGTTTGGTAGTACAAATCTGTGATCCTGGATGCTGGGGAGGTAGGGATTGAGAAGATCAAGGTTTGAGGCCAGCCTGGGCAAAAAAAGTTAGGGAGACCCCCTTTTCCTCTAAGCTAGGTGTGGAGATGTGCATCTGTAATCTCAGTGGACAGTGGTTTGACACCAGCCTGGGTAAAAATGTAAGACAATCTGAAAAATAAAAGCAAAAAAGGGCTGGGGTGTGGCTCAAGTGGTAGAAAGCCTGCCTAGCAAGTGCAAAGCTCTGAATTCAAACCCCAGTACTGACCAAAAAAGTTTGAAGCAGGGTTCCAGTCACTCACATCTATAGTCCTTGTTACTTGGGAGGCTGAGATCAGAAGGATCCTGGTTCCAGGCCAGCCCAGGCAAGCAAGACCCCATCTCAAAGAAGGCAGGAGTAGGGGGATTGGTGGAAAGGGAGGGAGTTGGTGGTGCGTGTGTGTGTTGAGGGGAGGGGAGAGTTGGGTGTGATAGTGTGTGTCCATCATCCCAACTATTGGTAGGAAGTATAAAATAAGAGGGTCATGGTATACGCTAGCCTGGACAAAATGTGAGACCCTATCTCCAAAAGTACCAGAGAGAAAAAAGCTGCCGGGCTCAAGCAGTAGGGCACCTGCCTAGCAAGTGCAAAGCCCTTAGCTCAAACCCGACTACTGCCAAAATAAAAAAACAAAAAACTCCATCTCCTCCAACCCAAATAAGAGTTTGAGGCCAGGTGAGCTACACAGACTGTCTTTAAAAAAGAAAGAAAATTTATAACTCAAAGAGAATAGAAAGTAAAATTATGAAAGGCACATGTACATGGTATTTTATGCTCTAAAGGCTCATTTTGAAGAGATTTGAAATCAAATATTAAAAAAACAGTCTGCTATGACAATTCCTCAATACCATTCATTTGTGGATGCTTTTTACTACATTTAAGAAATAAAAAAAACAAACAGAAATACTTTTTACCACTCTGGATAATGGTTTGTGATCTGGAGAATCTACCGTGGAGGGCGGTCATGTGCAGTGGGGTTTTCCCATCTTTACTCTGAAATAATTGAACAAAATTTTTAATTACTTTGTTGTATGAATAATATGAAATCCTTAGCTTTATTTTGGCTATTCTCTGCATATTTAATTTCTATAACTACTACTAAAGCATTAAGTCCAACTGAAGTCTATAGAGGGAGTAATATTTTAACATGTGTATCATAAAGTACAAATATACAAAAGACACCATGCTTACAGTTTATAAAAAGCTCTGTGTAGTACTGTAAGGTATAATCTTAGAATCATTCTTATTCTGCAGGTGGGGAAACTAAAGCACAAAGATATCAAATGATTCAGGAGTGGGTATGGTCAGAAAATGATGCCCAAAATTTAAGACTCAAAATTTTACAGTGTTCCAAAATTTTCATTCTATGAAATCCTAAATCCCTCCTTGGACTAGGAAAAGTGAGTATTAGGATCAATGTAAGTCACTATAAAACATTTATGAAACTATATATTAACTTGTTTATACTTATTTATAATCAATACCATTAACTATTTTCTCAAATTGTTTAAAATAATAAAACCAGACTGGCTGGGCATGTGTATTAAATTCTAAAAGAGTTCCAAGTACAAAGAAAAACAACCCTTGAGGTAGGTGATATGTTCTCTTTTGAGGTAGATGATGCCTTTTCTTCCCAAAAATCTTTTGGTTAATCAAGCCATACAAAGGAAGAAACTTTTGCAGCTCATAATCCCTCAGCAATAATCCGGCATGCCTTCTGTGTATATACTGAAACTGAAACATGACAAGTGTTTACACCGACAGTATACGTTGCAGAAATTTTCATGCCATATGGAGCATATTAGAATAACATCATAAGTACTTACTTAGGTATCTGTATAATATAGCGAGACTGGATCTCACTATATAGCCCAGGCTGGCCTCAAATTGCAATGCTGGGATTAAGGCATGTGCCAAGGTGCCCAGTTTGAATCTATTACTTTATGTGAATTTTTCTAATTTTTTGGAGGTTTGAACTCAGGGCTTCATGCTTGCTAGGCACGTTGCTCTACCCCTGAAATCACATCCCCTTTCTGCTTTAGTTATTTTTCAGATAGGGTTTCACAATTTTTGCTAGGGGCTGGCCTTGGGCCCTGATCCTCTTGTGTATGCGTCCCACACAGCTAGGACCACAGGCATGTGCAAACATATCCTGCTTACTTGTTGAGAAGGGTCTGACTAACTTTTTGCTGGGGTTGACCTATAGCTGAGATCCTCCCAATCTCTGCCTTCTGAGTAACTGGGATTACAGATGTGAGCCACTGTGCCCAGCACTTCATATTTTCCAAGCAAACAAGCCAAACAAATAACCTTTTGGAGGCAGTGTAAGAAGGGATGAGTGAGGACACATGCATGGGCTCTGGTTTGAGAAAAATGTGGGTGTGAATCTTGGCTTTGCCACTTGTCACAAGCATGATTTTGGACAAGTTGCCTGTAAGTTCGTTGATCTTCACTTTCTCAATTGAGATGATACTGTCTATACCTCAGAGGTGTGTTGTACAGAGAAAAATCAACAATCTTTGTAAAGGTCTGTTTACAAAGAGAGCTTTTGTAATACCTGTTTGAAATACCTGTTATAGCACAAACTATCATTTCTATTTGGTGTTTTAAAATGTGTCACTTGTTTTTCTTTCAACCAGGAAAAAAAAAACACAAAAGCAATGCAACAAAAAAAATCCTAGTTTCATATTCTCAAAATGCTCCCAATGTGAAAAACACTGGTTTGATGTTAATCTTTTACCTATAACCATTTTTATAGACAAGCCCAAAAACTTTTAGTAAAAATTAGGATTCATAAAGCTAATGAAATTTGGAAGACATAACTTTAGTGAACATTTATATACACATATAGGATTTATGTACGTATATTTCAGGCAGTTTTTGTTTTTTGTGTTTTTGAGACAGGGTCTCATTATATAGCCCAGGCTGCCTTGCACTCATGATCCTCCTCCCTCTGCCTTCCAAGTGCTAGAGTTATGTGTGTATCACCACACCAGGGGCAGGCAAAATTTTCAAACACTTCACATACATTAACTATTTAATCCTCATAACCCTGCGAAATAGGTAGAATTATTTTAGAGAAGAGGAAACTTAGGTGCTGAGATCAAATAATTCAACCAGGTCACCTAGCCAAAACGTGACAAAGGCAGTCCTTATAAATCGGCAGTGGGAAAATACTTTTACTTTCTACCTACTGATCTCATTTAAAATACTCTAAATATACAAAGGAAGAAGAGATTAAGTTACGAACTGAAAAGTCTGCCTTGACAAACGTTAGGGAAGAAAGCACATTTATCTCTCTCGGAATTGGAGAAACAACGTGCAGATTTTTTTAGCTACCTCAAATCATGTTAAAATCAGACTAATAGAAGACCAACAACATTCTAAGAATTGGTTTCACCTGTGACTGAAACAAGTAACCCCAAAGTCTCACACATTTTACAGTAACTTTTAGGTTTAACCTGTAAGTCAAGTTCAAGTCCTCGGCACATTTTTATTTGGCTGACCAAAATTTATTCTTAAACAACAGACCAACCGAGAATGGTGGCATATACCTGCATTACAAGTTAGAAGCCAGCCTGGGCAACAGACTGAGACCCAATACAAAAAAAAAGAAAGAAACCCAGAAAAGCAAAAACAATGGGGATAGTAGAGTGGCTCAAGCGGTAGAGCGCCTGCCTGGCAAAAACAAGGCCCCAAGTTCAAACCCCAGTACTGCCCATCCCCCCCCAAAAAAGCGAAAACAAAACCACCCAAAGAAAAATAAAAAACATAGCAGGTGGGAACAGTATGCATGTAAGTAAAATGATCAATGCAGTAGGGCTCATGTGAAGCAAAGTTACCAAAATCAGACTATAGCTGTCTTTTAAAGTCCATTCATTTACTGCTACCACTCTGTATGACAATTAGCTTAAAGAGTCCAGAAACTGAATTATTACAAATGGAACTTCACATTCCAATTTCTACTAATCTACAATTTAATCAAGGACAGAAACAATGGGGTAAGATAAAAAGTAGCAGTAGCAGGAAGAGAAAAAGAACAATGGGGATGAGCAAATTTCTTTGTAATACAGGATAAATGTTAAGTGCCCAGACCCTTAGTCAATAACTTAATAATTTGGGCATTAGGAGTTAATATGTAGGTGTTCTTGCTGGTTGAAAACTCATAGCTATCAACAATTTCTGCGAGATTTCAGAGATCAAAGGGAGGTTGGAAGTCAACCTAAGATGGAACATGGTAGTAAAATAACTGGACACATGTATTATAAACAGAATGCCCATATCATTAGGGGAGATTAAGGCAACTTTTACGAAATCTATTTCTCATGGATAGTTACTTTCAAATCAACTAACACATTAAACTTTAACCCCTTTAACTTTAACCCCTTTGCTAAAAACTTCCCTTGTTGTGTATGAAATTCACTGCTGAATTTTGTAAATCATTAAGGGTGTAACTTCAAATAGGACCACTGGCTTGAGCAATTTCTAAGTGACTCCTTGTAGAATTGATTCCTAATTCTAAATTCCAAAAGAAAAACCAGACTTAGTAATAATTACAGCTCATGAAGAAAACTACCTAGACACACATATGAATCCAGTGACTCATTATCATCAAGTTATATGAAATCGTTATCCCTTAAAGCCTAAATTTTAGCCTTTAAAAACACATCATGTAACTAGAAAGTGTATAATAACTAATGATATAAATTAGCTTTCATTATTTCCACGGTATTTACCACACATAGATTAACTATGGTCATTATCACACATAACTATGGTCATTTTATCATAAACAGGTCTAACAGAGACTGAAAAAATTTGTTTATGAACTTGCTTTTGAGGAATGCTAATTTCAGAATTTTAATTTTTGATATAGCTTAATGTTGGTTAAAAAGTATTACTTGGATCTTTCAGGAGGGAAAAAAAAAGTAATTTTTAAGCTGGTCATGGTGGCGCAATTGGGAGGCAGAGGCAAGAGGATCAATAGTTTGAGGCCAGCTTGGACTACAAAGGGAGACCCTGTTGCAACAAAACAAAACAAAAATGGCTGAGCATTTTGGCATACATCTATCTTCTCAGCTACTCAGTAGGTGGAGATAGAAGGCCAGTCTAGGTAAAGCACAAGATCCGACCTGAAAAATAAACTAAAGCGAAATGGGCTGGGTGTATGCCTCAAGTTTTGAGCATTTGCCATGAGGCCTTGAGTTCAAAACCCCCAGTTACCTCCAGCCCCAATTTTTTTCCTTCCCACAAGCATTTAGGTATTTTTCTGGGCACTGATTATCAGAAAAAGCAAGAGTTCTTCAAGTTAAAATAAGTAGTTCAAACTTATCTTCAATATATTTTTATGTAATAACTTAAAACTATTAAAAATGTCACTCAGTGACTTGAGAGCCCTAAGCACAGCAGAGGTTCTTTATGGTATCTCATGTCTTTCCTAACCTGGGTCTGATCTGAATAAATTTTATACCTTAGCTAGGAGAGGGCAATTAAAACCAATGATCTAATTATAGGTAGACTTGATGTGATAGTTGTGAATGGGTCAGTGGCATCATTAAAGGCTTCACTGAAGTTAGGTAAGAAAAAGTGCTCCTCTATCAGTCTGAAAGACAGTGTTCATCATACCTTCAAAAAGGACCTCAAATTTCATGTAATTAAAATTCTCACTGGGTGCAATGGCTCAATGCCTGTAATCCCAGCTACCTGAGAGGTGGAAATAAGAGAACTGCAGGTTAAGGCTAGCTGGGCAAAAAATGTTAGCAAGACCCTATTGTTGCGGGAAGAATGTTGGACCAGCAAGAACAAGACTCAAACCCAGATGGGTTGGAGGAAAGGAAGATTTATTATGCTAGCGGGCCAGCACCCTGGATCTCTCCAAAACTGGCACTGGCCCCCCAGCTCAGGGCTGTGGGGTTTTTATGACTCAGAATGCAGAAAGACAAAAGCAGACGTGGCAGTTAGCCTCTCACTAGGAGGTTACAACATATAGTACTAGCGGCAAGGTTGCAACTTATCGCACTAGCACAAGGTTACAGCGTACCACACTAACACATCTGTGAAACCGGGGCCAGCTCGGGGAGGGAGCATATCTGTGAAACTGGGGGTCTGGCTGGGCGAGTGAGCTCCTACTTGCCTTCAGATGTTTCCCCTGGATTTCTTTATCACTATCTCAAAGAACAAACTGTGCATGGTGGTGCACACCTGTAATCCCAAGTACAAAGTAGGTGGAGGCAGGAGGATTATGGTCTGAGACTGGCCCCAGGTGAAAACATAAGAAACTATCTGAAAAAGAAAAAAGCGCTTAAAGTGTGTTTAGAGATTATTTTGGGGGTGGTAATGGGGCTTGAATGTAGGACCTCATGATTACTAGGCAAGCACTCTTACCACTTGAGCCACGCTTCTGGCTCTTTTTGCCTTTAGTTTGTTTTTAGATGGGGTCTTGTGTTTTTTTGGTCTGGGCTGGCCTCAGACCAAGATCCTCTCTTCACCTCTTGAGTACCTGGGAATCACACCTGGCCCTTAAGTTTAAGTATTTTTACTAGTCCTAAATGGTTCGATTTTGTCTGTGGTTTTCTTCGTACTACAAGACACAGTTTTGTCAAGTGCTCAAATGATGAAGCCAAGAATGACACAGAAGAAATTAATGAAAGCACCTCAGACAATCTAAAATGATTATGTACCGTAAAGTACAGATATTAGAAATCTTTGTTTCATGTTCATTCTCACAAGATTACACAAAGTAAATTTATTTTGGTTTCAGAATTTTCACATATTTCTAAAAGTCAAATACATGCTCATGAAAGTGACTGTCATCAGAAGCCCAAGGCTTCTCTTAACATAGCGAAAAATTTCGTAACAGAAAAATTGAAAACTTTCAAAAGAGAAAAATTTCAAAAAAGAACTATAGCATGAATGCCCATGTACATACCATCTGGATTCTACCACTGACATTTTACTGGATATCTTTTATCATATTATTGATACATCTATCCAATTGGTGCTGTGTTAATCACAGACGCCATGTGTCACTGCAGTATACACGTCACTACCCAACACACAAGATTTTCTTTTCCTTATGAGAAAATGTACATAGAATGCAGCGTACAAGTCTTAAAGTACCATATGATGAGCTCTGACAAGTGCATGTCTATATTACACAAAGCCCTATCAAAATATAATACATTACCGTCACCCCATAAAGTTTCTTCATGACCTTTTCCCAGTCTATTCTTCCTCCTAGAGGCAACAACTGTTCTGATTTTTTTCAATTATAGATTCTAGAACCCCATATAAATGGAATTTCATCTGTTCTAGAACCTTACTTAATGGAAATGAATATATATCCCTGCTCTCACTCAGCACAATATTTTTAAGATTTATCCCTGTTGCTAAGTTTACCAGCAGCTCCTTTTTATTGATGAATGGCATTTGTTATGGATACTGTTTTAACCAGTTAACTAAATACTTAAAATAGGAATGTTGATTTTTGTTTCATACCTTCATGTTGACATCAGCCCCATTGCCAACTAGAAGTTCCAAACACAGTGCTCCATGTGTTGATGCAGCAGCAAAGTGCAAAGGAGTGAATCCTTTCTCATTCTTTTGATTCACATTAGCACCACAGTCTATGAGTTCATTCACTACAACATCTTGCCCGTTATAGCAGGCCACGTGAAGAGCTGTGTTTCCATAGGCATTTGGTTCATTCATCTATTGGAAGGAAAAATAGTGTGACTCTTAAAGTGAGCTTGCTATTATCATCGTGGGTCATTTTAGGAATCTGTGCTTGCAAATCAAATTATTAAAGTAACAGAAAGAATAAGGGATAAGCACACAGATTAGGCTTGCTAATGCTAAAAAATTTTAAAATAATGAATATAAACAACAAGCATTTGGTGTGAAGTACGCTGTGTACATTTAAAGAGTATAATTCATATATATATAACCAAATGATGATTCTAAAAAGAGATGTATTAGGAAAACGAAAACAATGTATTCTTCAAACTTTTACATACCAGAAGGGACTTACAGAATTAACTCTAAGAATCATGAAGAATAAACAAAAACTGAAGATTCTGAGGTATATTCGGGAACATGCTTTCTCACCTTTTTACCTTTTAATTACAAAGGACTAAGGTTAGTTAGTAATAAAGTAGAGATCAGGATTTTTAAAAGTGAATGGCATGTTTCTCTATTTAATTCATTTTTGTTACCAACTTGAGATATTTTTCAGCTTTACGTGTTGACATTTATCAAAAAAGCAAAAGAATGTGCTAAATAATAAGAAAAACTCATGCAGCTCAGTTTTTGTCTCCCCTTTCTATTTCTAATAAATAAAATGGAGAAATACTTTAAAGTTTTATGTTTAGTAAAGAACCCGACCTTGGGTCAGATGCGGTGGCTCATGACTGTAATCCCAGCTACTTGGGAGGTAGGTATCAGGAGGATCATGGCTTGAGGCCAGCCAAGGCAAAAAGTTAGCAAGACCCAATCTCAAAAAACAAGCCAGGTGTGTTGGTGCACAGAGAGCCCTTGACTTCAGGGAGGTAATTTATGACACATCTGATAGTGTACTTGTTTAGGGTAGGGGCTGGTCACACACTAGGTATTAGAAAACTACATCTGTGATTTAGGGTGGGGGATGGGTTGTGAGTTATTAGCAAACCTGGAGATTGCAATTAGTCATGTGATAACCAATCATGCTTATGTAATTGGAGCCAAAATTGAAAACGCTACAAATAAAGCTCAGGTGAACATTCTTAGTAGGTAATACTTTGAGCATGGTGGCTCACATTGATGCTGGGAAAGTAACAGGTCCTAACTCCTTGAGAAGGAAATGACAGAAACTTCACCTTAAGAACTCTCCCAGGTCTACCCTATTTGTCTCCCTTACTTCATCTGATCTTAATTTGTATTTTCCCCTTTTAATAAGCCATATTGTGAGTGTTACAGCTTTCAGTTATCAAACCTGAAGGTGATTTGGGGAGCCCTCTCAATCTTTTAATTGTTCAAAAGTGAAGGTGGCCTTGTTAGAGGGGACTGCTAACCTTGCAGTTGGCTCCAGCTTATCCTAACTTTAATCTTTTCTGAGAACAATGTAACCAGTAAAGTAAAAAAGTAACATTTAAAGGTATCTAGATTTTATCACAGAAGTTGTTCTCTCAAAGCTCTGGAAGGCACCAATCTTACAGATACCTTGATTTAGCATTTCTATATTCCAGAACTTTCAGAGATTAAATTTCTATTGCATTAAGTCCCCTAATTTGTGGTAATTTGTAATGGTATCCCTAGGAAACTAAAAGAGTAGGTCAGATATCAATCACTAACAGGCTCTAAGTTGGTTCATTTACTTCAAAGAACTAGCATCAGAGTTTACAAATGTTATTTTACTGTCAGTAAGTTCTTTTTCTTCTGTTTTTGTCACAGAGCCTTGCTATGTAGCCCAGACAGGTCTCAAACTAGTTATCCACTAGCCTCAGCCACACGAGTGCTCCTATTATAGGCTTGCAACACCATGGAAGTTTAGTTAAAATAAGTTTAAAAACTGCAGCAGAGGGGGCTGAGATGTGGCTCAAGTGGGAGAGTACCTGCCTATCAGGCAAAAGGCCCTGAGTTCAAGTTCCCGTATCATTAAAACAACAACAAAAAATCAAGAAAAAAGCTGTAGCAGAATGGATTTAAAACAGTGATTAGAAACAAGGTTGCTTCATTTATCTACATTGTGTGTGGGGGGGCGCTTTTAAGGCAGTGTATCACCCTGTTAAAACAAAGCTATAGAAGCTGCTGAGTTGAAATGAAACTTGTACCTACACTACAATCTACCAGATCCCATACGATAATATGCTGGAGTGTTTTGCAACTTCTTGTAACTCCCATATTTTCAATCTTGCTTGTTTTCAGTAAAGTGTTTCTCAAGGTCCTTAAATTAACAGCCTATCCAAGGTCTACAGTTGTGTCATGTATTTTTTGTCTAACAGACTACTACCTACTTTTTTTTTTTTTGCCTCTTATTAGCAGAGCCACGCCTCCTACTTTGTAGCTTTGAAAAACTATCAAGTTTGTCCCAACTGTCCCTAAAACAAGAGTAAATATATTAATACAACCATGTGCTGATGTAAGCCTGTAATACACAGGCGGCTGAAGCAGGAGGACTGCGAGTTCCAGGCTAGCCTGAGCTACAAGGTGTGACTCTTTCTCAAAAAACCAACTTCTTCCCACTCATACTCCCTCAAAAAAGAAAAAATATAGTGTGAGAGGGAATAAAGTACATGTATTTAAAAGATGGCCTGTGAAAGCCAGGTATTCTTAGCTACCTTGATTCAGGAATCAAATATTTCCAGATAGAGCAACATCCCTTCCTAACCAAAGACAATTATATTACTATATACTTAAAGCATATAGTACTTACACTTGGTTAGTAAGAAGTCTGTGTTCTTGTCTAGCTCTTGCCAATGTCTCATAATGTGATCTGCTATAGTCATTTAAAGAGAGTTACACTTATTATAGTAGTAAGACTTGCAATACCATAAACACCTAACCCAAGTGTGTCTGATCTGTTGGGTCTCACAGAACTGGAGCAAATGGAGCTTTAGGGCCTGAAGTGTGATAGAAAAGAAAAGGCTCTGGTGAATCATTCACCTATGAATGTATTTTAACTCTTAATATACTTTGGTAAATTATGTATCTTGGTCATAAATCAGTATACTAGGAATTTAAAGGACTATAAATATTCGGTTAAAAGACAAAAATATTGCTATATAAAATGCTCCATTATTTTATACTGCTGAATTTATATACCCACATCAACTCCAAGATCTAGAAGGTACTTGACTACGCTGATCATGCCACTGGAGGCTGCTGCATGAAGAGGTGTGTAAGACTTCTTATCTTTACACGTCACTTCAGCTCCATGTGCCACAAGTAATTTCACTACTTCAATGTGACCTGAAAATGTGTTTTTGAAGAAAAAACAAAGAGATGAACAAACAGGAAATATTAAATATAATTCAAACACCTTTCAATAAAGGAAAAACACGTATTAAGTATTTAAGGCATGTCAGTCACCAATAAATGGTGCTATAATTTAAGGCTAGAAGAAAAATATAAGAACTCAAAATAATACTGTTAAATGTTAGTAGAGGCAACTAATATTTCATAACTTATTATTTTATCCAGTGATAACCCTATTATCTACAATCTCCCTTTTGCCTAGATCTTCCGTTCTCCCAACCCCTATAGGTTGTTTCAGTCTCCCCTCCTTCCTCCCCTCTCTCTCTGGTGTAGGGGATTGAACTCAGAACCTCATGCATGTTAAGTTAAGTGTTCTATTACTGAACTACATCCCCAGTGCTGTTGTATACCTTTTAAAGTTAACAATCCTCCATTGAATTGTCTTTTAATCTTTTAGTTTTATATGAGAGAAAGGAAAAAAGGCAAAACCAAGAGGAAGAGTTACAAAAATAAGTTATGCCTTTAAGAATACCTAGCAATATGTCTTTGTAATCAGATAGTACGACTGGTAGATCATGGAATGATTCTAGTACCACACAGGAAATATGCCAATTCACATGTGACTTCTAACCAAAGGAGCCAAGATAGTAGAAACAGACTTACATTTCACAAATATATGTGTATATATACATATATACACACATACGTACAAGTACTAGGGATTGAATTTAGGGCCTTGTGATTGCTAGGCAGGCACTCTTGCAACTTGAATCACACTCCTATCCCTTTCTGCTCTGTTATTTTGAGATAGGGTCTCATTTTTATGTCCAGACTGGTGGGACCTCAATCCTCCTATATGTGCTTCCTGTGTAGTTGCAATGACAGGAATACATCACTATGCCCAGCTTTTTAAATTAGTTGAATAATGTCTTATAAACAACTTGTGAGGGCTGATCTTGAACCACAACCCCCCAGATCTAGGATTGATTATAGGTGTGAGCTACTGTGCCCAGCTAGAATTACACATGCTAAGCAAGCACTCTACCACTATGCTACATCCCCAGCCCAGGAGTTCCTTTTTAAAAAGTTGAAAAATGAATGTCCACATTCATGGCTTCCTCCCAGAAGCACAACCCCAGCTTCACAGGACTTCCAAAGTTCATGGCAGGTTATATTTCCTCTGTGCTTAGAGATTTACTTCCATCTGCATGATCTTGGTACCCATAGGCCAACATTTCTATGCTGCTGCTGTTTTTGTGCATTTTAAAGTAGCCTAAATGCCTCCCTGTCTCTCCAAGTTATCTCAAAAATCAGTTAATTTTTTTTATTAATGCTTTGATCGCAAAGTTTCATAGGGCTTTTGGTGGTATACTGCAGACCTATTTCCCCCCAGGAACTCTAACTGGTTTTCAAGCGCAAAGGTAAGATGTTTCAAAAGCACATATATCATGTTACAGCAGAAAGGCTTGTACTGTCTCTGTTTATTTCTGTGAAATTACTATTACAGAACTCAAACATGATGCAGGTTTAATCCAGTGTGTTGCCCAAAATAACAGGCTTCTTAATATACCTTTGTAATTTGTATCTTAATATTCCAATAAAAACAAAGATGGGTTTGAGAATGGCATTTTAGTAAATACCAATATTAAACATTCTTGGCCCATGTCTGAGGTGTCTCTCTCAATAAAGGTAAAAATAATTAGTTTGAAACAGCTTTTAGGTAAGACTGGACCCATTGTACTTCTGTTGCGGCAAACCTCACATTACCACGCTGGTTCCACTTGGGCAGCAAACTGAGATATGGCATAACTTTTCACTATATTAAAAGAAATGTTATACAAATGGCAAGAACTAAAACGCTCATCGTTCTTAAACACGTATGTCAAAAGTGAATTTAAAAAGTACATACCCATATATGCTGCCCAATGTATAGCACGCCTATCTTTCTTGTCAAAAGCATTAATATTGGCACCTCTGGACAAGAGTAGTTTGACCATCTGGAATGAAAGTAAACACAGTTCCATTGAAATTCAGAAGCAGAATTGTTCAGGAATGTGCCTTGTGACTACTCAGCTCAGTTTCTCTGGCACTGAATTTCTGCATTCATAGAAAAGAAGGAGCTAGACTAAATAGTGTAGGCCGTTTAACATAACAGGAGAAAATATGAAAAAGGGGTTCACTGTGGGTGTTACTGAGGTTAGGAAGCAGTATCTTTTTCAAATGTCACTTTGTGTCCTGGTATTTTATGTGACAACTAAGCATAAAACTGAAAAGTCTAAAGTTGGATATTTAACAAGAGGTTTTATTCCTATTCATAGTCCAAAGTGTTATTAGAATGCAAAGCACAATCTTACCCCAGAAATCTCTTAAATTTAATTCAAGCACAAATGTAGTATCTACAGTATAATTAAACCAGAAGGTCACAGTGTAGTCTACTTACCTCATAAAGTACCAAAAAGAGTAATTATAGCTAATCATATTTAAAATGTTTTGCCACTGAAGGGCATTCCAGACTTCATGTAGGGACACATTTTGTGACCTTAACTACAGTGGAGTCAAGGATTCTTTATGTTGTAAAATTGTGGTACTGTGAAAAGAACACTGAGGCAACTACCTACCTACCAGCCATGACATTTTGGGAATGTCACTCTACCTCTTAGAGATTCTGTAACTGCAAAAAATGAAGTATTAGGAGCAAGCACCATGGGGGCACACCTGTACTCCCAACTACTCAGGAGGCTGAGGTGGAAGGAAAACTTGAGCCCACAAGTTTTGTAAACAGCCTGGGAAACACAGTGATATCTCAAAAAAAACCCAGACAAACAAACAAACAAAAAAATCAAAACACTAAAAAATGATGAATAAAAAAGGAATGGATAAGTTAGCTTTGAATGTTCTAACTCTTGTCTAGTTCCACTCCTATACATGAAATTTGCTGAAAGGTAACTAAATTGTTTTATTTTGATGGTTCTGTCACTAAAGAATTATGGTGACTAAATGTTAATATTTTCTAAACTGCTTTTCCTTGCTACTATCCTTCCAAGAGAACAATGAAACTGCCTTCTTCCCAGATTTTTCCACACAAACAGAACATATTTCTATGTTGTGTTACAGTTGGCAGCATTCCTTGTCATTCTAAGTTTGAGGATATGAAATTCAAGTGTATAGATAATATGTACCAAATAAATTTCTAAATTTGAGGAAAAAGAAAAAAACCCACAAAAACATAAAGGTTTGTCACAGGCAACATTAGCTGAAAATAAGCAACATGGGTATTTTTGCTTAGACTAAATAGCCAAAAAAAGCAAGTTCACTACCAAGCAAGAGTTGGAGGTGAGTCAAGATAACGGCAGTGTGTTTGAACGCACCTACCTCACCATGTCCACTGAAAGCTGCATGATGCAACGCAGTTCTTCCTGCCCGATCAGACACGTTTACATTACTCAGAAGAGGCACCAGAGCTTCAGCACACTTTACAGCTTTATTAGCAGCAGCTATGTGTAAAGGGGTTTGCCAGTTTTTGTCTCGAGCATTAACATCTGCAGAATGCTTCAAAAGTACCTGAACTGCTTCCTAAAATATGAAGATAAATGAACGTTTATGTTTAAAGTAAACAAAATTTCCTGAGGCAAAAAATAAAAAAAGTTCCGACAAAGATCTCTATAAACAAGTGAATATAAGAACTAAAAATATAACATTTCTCAAAGTATTAAACGTGCTATACTTTATAAAATGAAAAATCTCTTGGTCTAGATAAACTAGAAAAATAAAAAAGCATATTTTTTTTGTTATTGTTCTTAACCAGAAGTACATGGAAAAGCTTATAATGCCACACTTATAAAATGGACTCTTGGCAGTTTCCAAAGAATTCAGTACACCATCAACATTAAGTAATATGAACAGAATGAAACTTAGCAAAATTTTGCTCCTTACAGCAATAATCTTGTCTTTCACAGATGAATGTCAAACTATGTATGAAAATAAAAGGACCAGAATCAGAGCAGAATCTCAGTTCTACAACTTATAAGGTTCACACTATTCACAAGTCTTGTAAAACAGACTCTTCTTGGTGTTCATATCTATAAGGCGGGGGGCAGGGATACTGCCTGCTCACAATTCTCAAATTTGCCATAAGGTACAATAAACTAATACACATGGAAAGTGTTAGAAAGTGTGAACAGATATAAATATACAAAGTTATCAAGGAAGACTAAATAAAATACTATTATTCATGAATCACCCACAGCATTTTCAGGCTTTGAAACAAAAGTAATCAGAATTGTCCAAAATATGGAAAAGAATACAAGTATTTAAGAGGTATGCAAAAGACCAGACTGATGCCCAGAAATCTACTGATCTGTTAATAAGGAAGTCAGCCAGATAATCAAAGACACAGAGACCTATGACCCCCAAAACTCCGTTCCGGTTATTTACCCAAGAGAAATAAAAACAGATACATTCAAGAATGCACACAATTTATTCATAACAGTCCAAAACCAGAAATGCCAATGTCCATGAATAAGAAAGCTGATATGCATTTGTACAATGACACTACCCAGCTTCTACTGCTGAGTAGCAAACGTTATTATGGTGAGCAAAATAAATCAAGACACAAGAATACATATTGTTTGATTCCATTTTTATAAAATCTAGAACAAGGAAAATTACTCTATATTGATAGAAATCAGAAGAGTGGTTGCCTCTGGGGACTGAAATTGGACATGAAGGATTTGTTGGGATAACAGAAATCTTTATCTTGTTTAGGGCAAAGGTGACACAGGCATTATATATTTGTTAAAACTTATGACTGTACACTTAAATTGGTGCATCTTATTTTAAGTTGTATTTCAATTTTAAAAAGGAATATAGAAAGGAAATAGAAAAATATGTACTGAAAATTCTGGAAAATCAAGATACAAACCTTACCATAATTCATATCCCCACTTCTGAGAACAGCGTATCATGCTTGGAGGATAAAACTAACACTTAAAATGGAGAGTGCTGATAGGTATGTGGGTGGATATACCAGAAAATAATTAAATAAAATGAAGAATTTATGATTGGATAAATTGTGCCAAAACAGCATACTAGGGATATCAGCCTTTTTATTCATTCTCACTCTGGATTCACAACATTAAGTTTGGAAAATATTTATGTTCTATCAGCAAAGCAAGAATAAAAAAAAAAAATCAAAGCTAGGCTGGACATGGTGGTACACACCTGTAATCTCAGCTATGTGCAGGAGGTGGAAGTAGGAGGATCACAGACTGAGGCCAGCCCAGGCAAAAAGTGAGCAAGGGCTTATCTGGAAAGCCAAACTGGGCACGGTGGTACATTCCTGTAATCCTAGCTAGGCAGGAAGTACAGGTAGGATTGCAGTCTAAGGTGGGCTCAGGTAAAAAGCACAAGACCCTATTTGAAAAGTAAACTATACAAATCATTTGCCTAGCAAGTCCAAGGCCCTGAGTTCAGTCCTCAGCACTACCAACAGAAACGAAAAAAAAAAAAACCAAGACAATTCTTTTGTTTCACTGAAAAGCAAGAGTAAATCTAATTCATGAAGATAGGATGGCTCCTAAAGAAGGCTATAGTGTAGAGTGCTTGCCTAGCAGGTGTGAGGCCCTGAGTACAAATCCAGTATGGGGTGGTGGTGGCTATAAAATATAGCAAGTAAGACTCTACGATCAACAAAGATAAAGGTTCAGAATACTGGGTCTACTATTACTGTTCAGAGTAATACACATCTGAGTAATAAATTCAGGAAAAAAACTAAAGAAAATCTCAAAAGGCTGGAGACATTAAAAATTGGGAATTTTTAGAACTATAAACCAAAGCGTCCGATGTTACATCCTAGTATAATTCTAGATATTATCAGCACATAAAAAGAATGTGGGAATAACCAAGGACTGACTCTTAGCAACAAATGCACTATAACTTCTTCAATTTCAGTTTTTCAGTTATTAGAGGGTATGTGTCTAAAGAAATGCTTGCTGGTGTGGCTTAATTTTAAAAAAGGTAAGTCAATTTAAATAATGTGGAATATGAAATGTGGAGTAATGACAAAAATTTAAAACTCATACTCAAAGGGCATTTATTAATATCTTGGGACAATCTAGAAGATTCAACAGCACTAATTAGCTATTTGGTTCTGTATGTGTTTTAAGTAATTCTTACCACTGATTTGAAGAAAGGCACAGGAAAAAGAAGGGTTAACACATTTGCAAATAAATACAAAGTCTAGATGACCACTAATGTCTCAAATGAGTAATGTGATTACTCAGTTATATGGACAGAACTGAAAACAACTCTTAATTAGGTTTAAAAAAGTAAACAGCAGAGTCTACAGAGGATTCAGCAGTATGGTGTGGCTTCTTACACACACACGTCTTTTCAACCAGGTTCAGTGAAGGAATTAAGCCATAAGACACAAATATTTGTGATAAATTAACCTCTCTCCTGTGCATCTTTTTTCCCTCCTTTCCTGGTCTCAATCTGCCTGGTTCACACTTCCCAAGTACTGGGACACAGGCATGCATCACCACATCCATCTACTTTCTCCTATGCATCTAACACGGTATTACCTATTTTTTGTGTTCTTGGGATAATTTAGAAAATAGATTCCAATTACTGTGTGTAGGGTTTACTTCTCTCATGGTATCTCAAAAACATAAACCAAAAACTACCTAAAATTTTGCCTTTGAAAAGACCTTTCTTTTAATATATCCCTCGGTGACCAGAGCTATATTTTCTGTTAAAGGAAGAAAGCATAGCTTCCTTTGATTTCAGAATGTAACAAAAACAAAAAAACTGATAATTGTCAGATTTTCTAGCACTTTTGATAACTATGAACTTTTCTTTTTAAACGAAACATGATGTTCCATGTATATAGAAGTTATATTTTCATGGAACAGCCACATTTTTACAACCTCAGCAAATATACAAAGTGTACCTTCTGATGACTTAATCTGGAAAAACGCTATTTAATAGCCATATTCACAAGAGTCGTAAGAAAAGTAGGTATTACTAACATTAATAAGTTCCAATAAAGTAATATTTACCTTAACTACTTTTTGTCAAAAGAAACATAGCACAGCTAAAATGCTGAAGTGTTATTTGCATATCAATGACCTAGAACAGAATCAGATTGTGTGCTCCAGGGTAGTCAGTATTGCCTCCCTCTTTCTCCTAACTAACATGCTGCCTCTGTCACATAGCAGGGTTTGTTATCCCTTCCAGTCACTCTTCCCTGATACTTCTCTCTCTCTCTCTCTCTCTCACACTGCTAGCTCTTGTTCGGGGTTCAAGATACAGTTTATGATGAGAAATCAAAGAAGAACAAAGAGGCAAGAGCTCTCTCAGTTTTTCTTGAGGCATTAGAGTTGTCTTTCCTTTTCCAGGACTACCTGATCCCATGATAGGAGTAGTAGTTATTCTTAGGAGTTGTTTCCTTATTGCTCACAATTTGAAAAATGGAAAAAACACTAGGTTAACAGTAATTTTTACAATCACATACTTTCACATTTTAAACTATTTGTTATTTTGTACAACAAAAAATGTTAAAGAAAAAGGATGCTTTATACAATGCACTTTAGAAACGCATCTAATGTACTTTACAAAACAGTAAAATGACCCGTAAGAGATGGTGTGGGTTTGTGCCAGTGGAATAGTTTTTAGCTACCTCAAAACATCTATCCCTAAAGACATCATGAGAACTAGAAGATATGAGAGACATAAAAAATATTTTCCAAGTAGAGAACATTCTCTAAAATGTTCAAGTTATATAGATGAGCAAACAACATATAGGGTTGTAAACAAAAAGGAACTATTCTTCTATGTGAAAAACGTTATATATTTTAAGGCTACATTTTAAACTGGTAGAATGTGCATCAAGCAATAGTTTTGAAACTAACTTATATTTGATTAAATATTTTAAAATTATTCATTACACACTGGTGAGATTATTTCTTGATTATAGTTAGCAGAACATTTACAATAGGCTATTGTGAGCCAGTAGAGAAAAGCCCTGAAAAGGACTGTATAAGACAGAAAAATTATAAGGTTTTCTACTCTCTTTTAGTTCATACTAAGAGGTATTACATACAAAAGGAGACATGCAACAATTAGCTTGGATTATACAAATTCTGAAGTAAAGTGACCAATCTAGATATTTCAGTAGTTTTCTCCTTCTTTTGAAAACACAGATTTTGAATATGGACTCACACAGGTCTACTGAATTTTTTTTTAATATACAATATATTTACTAAGAGAAATATCATACCTCACTACAAGATGCAACTGCTCTGTGTAAAGGTGTCAACCATTTGCTGTCTTTGGCATTAACTCTAGCTCCTGGAACAAGAAGAAAAAAATAAAATTGAAATAATTTACATGAATATTTTAAACAAATTTCCTAAAGTTGTATGTATTCCAAATTGGATAAGTAACAATCAAGAGTGTTATACTTTCTGCCAATAAATTACCCTTAAATTACAAAACAAAATTATTCTTTTAAATTGATACAATTATTCAATGATGTATTAGCTTTTCATTAAATATGAAACATTATTTTATATTTAAACTAGAAAAGCCACCTTTATACAGAGCATAACCAAGAAAAAAAAAATCAGACGCCACTTTAGAATATGGGTTAATAACTCAAATACTTACAAAAGTGAACACAAAACTACTCAGAGATAAATCATAGATTATTTTAAAGTCTTCATTACATTACTTTACTACTGAATATATCATGCCATGAATTAATATACCAAAATAGTACTATAAGCTATTAAAAACACATTGGTACTATATGGTTATTGTATAAAATGTAAACAATGGTACAGACTAAGAAAAAAAATTAAAAAATGAATCAACCTGTATGTCTTTCTTGGTTATACCTAAGATTTAAAAAAAAAGTAGAGGAAAACCAGTCTGGCTCTGGAAGCCAGCCAACAGGTCCTGTTCTATGAATCATCCTAGCTTTATAAATAAAATCCTAGCTAATTCTTTATTTCCTAGATGGTGAAATACTGGCATAGTGAATAGTATCAGATCAGAGTCAACTGCTGCCAGAACTCTTATCTCCTGATGTTTACATTATTTCTGTGTTTTGAATGTGAGGTCCAGGGGCTAATCAAGTACAACGACTTCATGTTATTGCTCTAATAATCATTAGCTATATCCTTACTAGTTGTGTGATCCCTTCGAACCTTCATCTGCAAAACACTTCTTTATACCTTGTTATAAGGATTAGCATATAATAAACAAATTTAGTACACACAATGTTAGAGGCAGATATAAAAGCTTTGTACATAATGGGAAATAAAGTAAAATGGAGGTATGGGAAACACCCACAAATGTAGCAGTTAAAATTGTGAGTAGTTGAGTTCTCTATTTGCAGGTAAATAGAGGGAACTGAAGAACATCATAAGTGAAGTTAGCCAGGTTCAAAAAGTAAAAGGCCACATGTTTTCTCTAATGTGTAGAATATAGGCCCAATACAAATACAAGCAATATTATAAAAACCAGGTCAGGTAACAGGAGGTCACTAATTGGAGAGGGAGGGTAAAAGAAGGAAGTTAAGAGGGTGAATATGGTTGATGTACTTCCTATACAAGAATGCATATAGAATATTTAAGCCTGCTGAAATCAGCAGAAGAAGGGGAGTAAGGCAGAAAGGAGAAAAATCCCCAGCATCTCTACCAACAACACCACCAAAAAGAAAAGAAAAAAAATAGAGGTGATGAGCTAATTTGAGTTATAATACATATATAAATGGAAATGTCGTAATGAAACTCCTTGTACAGCTAGCTTAAACAAACAAAAATGTCTTGATAAAAATGGAGAACAGGAAGGTAAAACAGGTCCTGTCTTGGGCGGGGAGATATAAGGAAAGGGTGAAGGAGTTTGTGAATATGGTAGGAATATTATGTACTCATGTATGAAAAATGGATAATGAAAAATGGATAAATGAGACCTGTTGAAACTATTCCTGGAATGGGGAGAGAGGGGATAAATGAGAATGATGGAGGGCAAGAATTCAACTATGCTCTGTTATAACAACCTTAAGCTGGGGGGGGGGGGGGGGGGGGTGTGTGTGTGTGTGTGTGTGTGTGTGTGTGTGTGTGTGTGTGTGTGTGTGTGTGTGTAAAATGCTGTAACCCTAGCTTCTCAAGACAGAGACAGGATCTCAGTTCAAGGTCAGCCCAAACAAAGGTGATTTGAGACCATACCTGAAAGGAAACCATAAAACAAAAAGGGTGACAGGATGGGTCAAGTGGTAGAGTGTTTGACTAGCAAGTGCGAGGTCCTAAGGTGTTCAATCCCCATTATTGGAGAAAAAAAACTGCATTTTAAAGATGCCACTGATGAATATTATAAACCAGTATTTACAGAAAACACTTTAAATGCCAGAAGCACATTTCATTAAATCAAAGATGTTCAGACAATTGGAAAATTAATATATTTTTGATCTACTCCCACAAATTCATGCATATTAACTAAATTTTTTCTTAAATGAGTAGCCAGAGCCTATACTTAATATGTGCATTTCACATTCATCTTTCCAAGTTAGAGGTGTGGTATGACCTCTTATATTAAATAACAGAAGCAAAAATCAACTGCAGAATCACCTTAAACAAGTTTGTCCCTATTTGACAGCACAGATTATAAAGAGAATTTCGGCTAACCGGCTTCCACTAACCCAATATTTTAATAATAATTCACTCATATAAAAGTATACTCTGAAACAATAGCACCTTTGTTTTTTACATAGGGTCTCAAATTCATGATCCTCAGGCATGTATCATCATGCAGGATGAGGTTTTTTGTTTTGTTTTGTTTTTTTAAAAGAAAAGTTACTTGAGGGGAGATATCCAGAATAAATTTCTAGCATATCTGGAGATAAAGCAATTTTTAAATGAAATTAAAAAAATAAAAAATAGTAATTTACTCATTGCATTTTGGGCTCTAGACAGCAATGCAGCTGGAAAGAGGTCTGTAGTTGTGAGGATAGTCAAGGTTAGTGCAAGGAGACCTGTGACCTAATAATGGCTTTGTGACCAGTAGCCTGTGGGACTGTGGGCTATCTTTGGAGCCTGGACTTTCATTTTGTTAATTATAATACCCGCCTCCTACCAGGATGGAGAGAAAGAACAAGAACAAATGGGGTTTTGGGGTGAGAATGGGCCCCAGGTTTAAACAACGTAAGGTACTCTATGAAGTGAATTCTATAATCAACAATTCCAATCAGGGTATCCAAGTGTCATTCTGCAAGACAGCTAACTTACCTGCTTTATATCTGATCAGTCATCAAGTTCTGACACCAACTTTGATTTCTGAACTTTGATTACCTATAAAATAAGGTATAAAATGGATCCTAGTGATCCATTTTAAATTAATATTCTATTTTGAAACACTCAGCATACAGTATCATACTTACAAAATATCTTGTAGAGTGGTCTAAATGTGTTCCCCTAAAATTCATATCCTGAAATCCTAACTCCAATGTGATAGTATTAGGAGATGGAGTCTTTGGGAGGTAATTAGGTCATGACAGCAGAGCCCTCATGAATCAGATTACTGTCCTCATAAAAGAGGTCTAAGAGAACTCCCTCAACCCTTCTGCCATGTGAGGTTACAGTGAAAAAAACCCAAAAAACAGTGTACAGACAAGGAAGTGGGCCCTTACTATATACCAAATCTACTTGTGCTATGATCTTCCCAGGCTTCAAAAATGAGATAAATTTCTGTTATTTATAAGACACCTGGTCTATGGTAGTCCATCACAGCAGCCTGAATGGACACCTTGCTCTACTTTAACATTACACATATGAGATAGCATCTTTATAATTATGCCAAGGAGCTTTCAACCATGGCCCACAGGCTGTCGGCTGCCTAATTTGTAAACTTTTGCTGGAATACAGCTGTGTTTATTCATTTAAGCATTAAATATGTAGCTTTTACAGTGTAATACACTTTTAGTAGCTACCCTGGTCCGTATGGCCTGCAAAATACTATCTAACCTTTTATAGAAAGTTTGCCTGCCTCTCATTTAGGCTAAGCACTTGATTGAAGGTAGTACTAAGGTTATTTCTATTTTCACATGTGTTTTTGTTAATTACAATTAGACTCACTAATCATTTTCCCAAACCTGTATTTATAGAGAATTGTTTTCTGTTTTGCTTTTAAGTCATAGAGGAGACAGTCCATATCCAGTGTGAACTGGGCCAGAAGCTGAGAACTTTCATTCCTCTTCCAAAACCGTGAACATGATGCTTTCTTTGGCTGCCTATCAAAAGCAGTGCCAAAACTTTGGGATTCTGTTTTCAGGTTAGAGTGGAATGAGCAAAAAACAATTACATTTCCATCTGAAAAGCTAAAAACAACAAAACAAAAACAGGTACTGCATTTGTGTGTGTGTGTTTGTGTGTGTATATGTGTGTGGGTATGTCTTTTAAGAGTGTGCTATCTTTTAACATATGTATATTTTTTAAGAGTTCAGCTATTGTGGGCTGAACTGTGTCTCCCCAATAACTCAGAAACTGAAGTCCTAACCCCAAATCAGAATGCTACTTTTTTGGAGATAAGATCTTTAAATTAATTATATTCAAGGTACTTAACTTTAAAGGAGGTCCTTAGGGTGGGACCAAATCTAGTGTTACTTACAATAACAAAAAAATCTGGACACAGATATGAACAGAGTGAAAACAGAAGAAGGCAGCAGCTATTTATAAGCCAAAGAGAGAGGCCTAGACAGATCCTTCCCTAAATGGCCTTCAGAAGGAACCAACCCTGTTAACACATTGATCTCAGACTTCTAGCCTCCAGAACTGTGAGGAAATAAGATTCTGTTTGTTTAAACTTCTGATTTGTGGTACCAGGTCACCCTAGAAAATCAACACACCAGAATTGCAGGCTTTCGAGGCACTCACACTTTAGGTCTAATTCCCAATGCCAGAATCATCAGATTCCTATTTCCTCACTAAAGATTATTTTCCACAAAAGGCCAAAAATTTTTGACTAATGCCTTCCACAATGTAGTCATTTAATGAACTAATACACACTGAAAGCAGTCTGCTAAACATATGATTTTGAATGGAAGCATAAAATTGTAGCTACCAAAAAACCTATCTGTTCCTGAAGGGTCAGAAAATTTAGTCCTTACAATAGTTCTTTAGTAAAAGCTATGACAATGCAAACTACAGAATTCTAAACTGTGAAGGGGGTACAGTACAGTAGACACAGGGAAGGGATTATGGCAGAGTTAACAACATTGATTCTATAGTCGGATTGTCTGGACCTGAATTCTGGCTCCCGTCACTCACAAGTCTTGCGGTTACAACTAATGA